TCACTGGAAACTCGTTTCATATTTGCTTGCATCGTATATACTACTCTCGTAGTAGCTGGGCGAAAAGTTCGTCTCGATAACTTTTGCTCTGGGAATTTTTGTCGCTGTGTAGTATTTTGCCTCGTATTGTTCTCGGACCGACACGCGTCTGAAGAACCCACACTGTGAAAAGAATGATATATGCATTGTTAAAGTGACAATAGTTTTGCACACTGTTTAATTTTTTTTTTAAATTCACAAAAAAGGGACAAATACATTATAATTTGAAAGATTATCATATAAACACTGTGCACTGTTTTAATGGCATTTGACGTTTTTAAAAAGCCATAGAAAAAAGGGGAAAATCGTAATAATTTGAAGGATTACCGTATAAAAAATGTCCATGAAAAGAAAATGAAATTTCACTGTCCCCATACCTACCTTCCACAAACATAAAGCTATGAGTAAGAGTAGTAACAGCCCCAGTAGTAGTCCCAACAGTATTGTCCAGACTTCAACTTGTTCTGCCAGGCTCACCGGCCTTGTTTCTGGCAAGGCTTTCGTTACTACCTGAAAATAGACCAAATACAACGAATATTACATTTACTACCATGAAAGTTCATCTCTGTTGGTAGTTAACGTTACATGTTTAAAGTTAAAACTTTTGTTCCAACACACACAAAAATTCTCACCTAGATAGAGCTTTCCACTAGTCATTCTGGTCTTCAATAGACTGACCCAGTGACACTGACCCAGTCACGTGACAAGTCTCACTGGGTCAGTATATTGAAGAAGATCGGAGTGACTGGTGGAAAGCTCTAGGCAGTGAGAACAATTCTTTGTGTTGGAACAAAAACAAAACAATGTGACACAGCATCTATGATGACCAATGTCTACCTTGTACTGCCAAACAACGACCTAGTCTCTCATACAATGGGTATGGGAATACATAGAACTACATCATCATCGTATATGTGTATACCGTGATTATACGTGTGTGTTACGTACTTACTGTTGCCTTGTCGTTAAAGCTTCTGGACTGTTCCATGTTCTCAAAGTTCTTCACAAGCTCCACTTCAGCGTGGGACAAGATGTCCACATGACTTACTAATGGATATTCCTGTAAAAACAAACAGACAACTTTATCATTCATCAATGTACGTTATCTAGTCTTAATACATGCTTGATATGAAATGTCTGCAACTGTCTCTTGTAACTTTCTGTTGACACTACTGTTGTCTAAAAGTGATTGTTTGTCTATCTATAAAGTCGGCCAGTGATGAAATACTAGTAAATGGCATTTGTGCTGGATCATATTTACTGAAGTCCGAAGACTGGACTGTACCTGAGTAAAGGTGGTGTTCCACAACCTCGCTTCCACGGTGATGACCACTGACCGGTTGACCAGCAGTGTGTCCAGCGTGCAGTTGAACTCGAAACAACGCGCTGTGCCGGACATGCAGTCCTATCGCAGAACGACAGGGGGCGTGACACCGAGTAGTTCGCAAATTGCATTGATCGTGATCAACATTTAGTAATCAGACACACATCAACAAAAGGTAGAACTTTATAGTCAAACCACTTACCAAAGTGACTACTCCGTCTAGCTGCTTTTTTTTTTTTTTAATACGGATCTGGACTTGCTTCACCGGACTCTTCCTCAAAGTAGTCTTCCTCTTCAAAGTCCTCGTCGAAGTCGTCTTCCAAACTGCGCGGCTCCCTGGCTGCAGCCTTCTTCCTGAGTGTCTATGGTCTATGGTCCCTTGTCGCGGGGCGGTCAGGAGATTTGGTCTGCGGCTAGGCTTTGGGACAGGAAGTTTTACAACTTTACTCGTTAAAGAAAATATGTTGATTTCATTAATTTTTTCTATCAGACATGAGGCACATATAGGCCGAATTTTTTTCCATATTAAGCTGTGTACAGAGTACGTACCTTTAGCTTTAGAAAGTCCCTATGCTCCTCTGGTGGGAAGCATCGCCCACGACCAACCAGCTGCATGTTGAGGAAATAAGAGTTAAAATTCCGTTCGAATCTTCATCAAGAACTACAGAAATTGGACTGTAATGTCAGTGTTCACCATTTGACCCTATATCATGACTTTCATCCATTCGACTGCATATCTTACCCTTAAACAAAACAAAACAAAACAAAACAAAACAAAACAAAACAAAACAAAACAAAACAAAACAAAACAAAACAAAACAAAACAAAACAAAACAAAACAAAACAAAACAAAAAACAAAACAAAACAAAAAACAAAACAAAAACCGAACAGACACGCGCAAAAACTACAACACTACGTACCTTAACATCTGTCATATACAGTAACAGTTTGCCGTTGGGGTGAAGAGAAGTGTTCTGTATCTCATACGGCCCAGTTCATGATAATTGATTTTGAACATACAGAAATTTAGCAGTGCCAGGCGCTAGATATAACGTGACGACACCATGCCAACACGTATGCTTTCGTATATTCAGATAAAGTAGCGAAGTCTAAAAGCTCACCTGACCAATGGAAGGCACCGGGTGCTGCTATCATGACGTCTTGTCCGTCCTAAAGACAAGTTTGAAAAATAAATAGCATAAAGATATTCAAATTCTTCCGTAGCAGGCTTATTGAACTGGGGGTTTGGTGGCTGTTCAAAAACGGGGGTAATTCAACCAGACCGGCTATATTGTCTATATACAATCAGAAAATAGCACATAAAAGCTCCCAAAGACCCCCCAAACTCCCAGTTTTTGGCATGCTATGGAGGCTACATCTGACGACCAAATGCTGTTGTCAGTGAACTTACAGCGGAAAGTTGTAATATATGACGAAAATTTTACACAAAATGAAGAGATCGATTTGCATGGAGACATAGCCAGCCAGCATGTGGTGCACTAATTTGCATGTGTCTATCAATAATTTGCATATGCCTACCAGTACCTAAAATCGCTCGTATTCAAGTGACGGACTCTGTTGACGGATCTTAGATTTTATTTTTAGTACATTCTAGACTTAGGACACGTTCTAAGTGTCTGCATGTTGAGACTTACGTGTGAGAATTCCAGAGCAGTCCCGAGGTGACAGTACCCGTACTGGGAATGTCCGGCCGGCAGGTCGTCACAAAGGTTCCAGATCCCCTGACTCGAGTGGTGGATGTCGGGAACGAGCTCCTGGTTCAGCTGATAACATCGCCCTCGTTCCCAGACTCTCACTTCGCCTCTTGTGTACACGTCACGATATTTTGGTGCGCATGCCTAGCAATAGTATAGCAATTCACAGTATGTCCTAGAAAAGGTAAGCTTTAAGACTTTTTTAAATATTTTTTTTTTCAAAGAGTTAACGTACAAGAAAGTACATACCATGACTTTTCCTCCTGGACCCATACTTCTGACGGTAGCACCGAGGAACTGTCCCGTTCTGTTTCGGTCTTCAGCGATGTCTGTACAAAAGGCATGTAAAGGTTTAAAACAGAATTATGAATACAATATTGCAGTGTACCATTCCATCTTTTCATTACACCCATCTTTTGCTGAGAAAATAATTCGATCCTACCAGCCAATCACTTTAGTACTGGTTTTCTTTGGAACACATAACATGTCGATCTGGACACCTGTACGATCCTACAGTCCCTATAATTGGTGGATCCTACAGTCCCTATGATTGGTGAACCTACCTGCCGTGTCTAACTATACGATCCTACAGTCCCTCTGATTGGTGAACCTACCTGCCGTGCCTACGGGTACGATCCTACGGCCCCTCTGATTGGTGAACCTACCTGCCGTGTCTACCTTCCGATCCTACGGTCTCTCTGATTGGTGAACCTACCTGCCGTGTCCACCTGTACGATCCTACAGTCCCTCTCATTGGTTGTCATCCGACACTTGTACACGGCACCGGGCAGGGCCACCCACTGTTGGTACGGGTTCTCTGATTTAGGGGCTCCGACAATTAAACTGTAACCAACAAAAATGTGATAAGAAAGAGCATCAATGTTGTGAGAGAAAATAAAAAAGAACTATGAACTGATTATGGGAATCATTCTAGAAGCTTGATAGGGTCAGCTACACAAATGTGTGCAAAAAACGCTTAACGATTATGATGAAAACTGTTTTACCCATCCTTCTTCCTGACAATGTATAGAAGATACATGAGCAAGCTTATTCAGTTATATGCAGTGTTTTGTCTCTAGAATGACAAAACATAGTAGTAAAACGTCAACCTACTAAACATGAACCTCCTTTTTTAACAGTAGACTGTTGCTGAAAATTGTCGAGGAAAAGAACGACTGCCTTGTTTTGAGAGCCACTCTATGACGACAATACTAAATAGCTGTGTGCCTCTATTGTTTGTGAACCTCTGTGTACGTCTACTTTTCTTCTAAGATTGAACGTTTGTTGTGTATAACAGTATAACAAACTCCTTCACTTCTACCTAAAATAGTTTTATCAGGTTGGTAAAGTATAGGATATAAGAGTGTTCTCGCCTCTCGCCGCAAAAGCGCCACCTACATATAGTGGCAAGAAACAGAACTCTAGTCAGAAGCTCTGAGGAAGGTGTCTGATAGACACCAAAAATCTGGATGTGTAAAAGAAAACTCTTCTATCCTTCACTTCTAATCACACAGCTCTCTTCCTGGCCGATCCGCTAACTGGTTCTGAACAAGACTCAGTTATAAACAACAGAGGTGGGTGTTCTGTGGGTGACCTCTGACAACACCCAACAGGGCTTAAGACCAGTGATTCAATAATTATGTAGCAGACGGTACGCATACGTGTTCAGAATGCAACACCACTGAAACCACCTTCTTTGTAAAAAGTGTGGGAGTGCTAGGAAGTTATTCTAACACCGCAGCTACTTCTAGACGTGTTTTCTTCAGGCGAAACCTGATTATTTTCACAATAAATTGTTAGTCAAGAACCCGGATAAGTTTTAAAAACTGTGACACATTTCAAGTAACATCCACTACATTTCGGCAGTGATTCTGGTTCAGTGGAAAGCCTCAGTTTGCTCCGCATAATTGGCAAACCTCCACGGTAAACACGGCTTTCTGAAAGCTGCTTGAAGAATCCATTATTTATGCGCTTGAACTTCTCATCTGGCCACTTGGCCGGAATCTTTCACATGAGTGAGCGACCTTTTGTTGCCAAAGTATAGGTTACTAATAGCCGTGGACGACTCTGGTAATCCTTCTTTTTGCATATCCGGCATTATCATGCAAAAAGGATTACCAGAGTCGTCCACGGCTAAGGTTACTAAAAAATACCTGGCGCACTTGCGAAGGCGCGCAGTTCCGTAGGTGTTTTTTGAAGTCACACAAATTGAAGGTAGACCGGATTTTAGGATTCTGAGAGGTACTTTGAAGTGAAGTGACTCTACCTGTGACGGTCGACACACCTTTTATCTGTGACTTCCTCAAGATGTATCCACTGTCTTGCGGTCGCAAGTCTTTGATGGTAGATTAGTAGAACACACATGACAGATCTGTAATCTTCTGAACCACATCCTCAAACGGATGCGTTGTTCATGAGTATAATGTTTGTTCACAAGCATTTTATAAGTATGCCGTACGGTTTGCTACTGGATAAATGTTTCAAGCCCCGTGTCTTTGCCATAAAGCACTAGTTGTAGGGACTCCAATAGGCGTATAACAAGTCGTGTAATGGGATTAAGTAACGTGTAATGTGTACACGCACTGCAGCGAAAAATCGTCGTACTAAACACACATTAGTGGCCTGGCTTTTAGAGAACATCAGCCTTGAAAAAAAAAACACATACCTCCGCGTAACGCTTAGCAACGTTACTACAGGAATTTAAAAGTACATAGTTTTGCTTCCAAGGACTATTCGTGGACCTCAAAAGATTCTCAGATTTCAGCCCGACATGGAAACACGTGATGTAAAAGGAAATTCAAAAGAAGCACGGCCATGTGGTCACTGGGGCGGTACAGAACCATTCACACAACTGTCCCTTCCGCAAAAGAATAACCGTTTGACTAAGAATACTCTCAAAAACAGGGCGTAAAAATCAACAATTTGACCATCTATTTCCAAATTAGAAATGGACAAATGGTAGAGAGTGACCAGGGAGTGACAGAGATTATAACCTCAATGAAGTGACCACACAAAAATAGAGAAAGTGAACGGAGGGTCTCTACTTACACATTTTCTCTGACCACCGCTATGCCATGGTGCATGATTTGGTGTTGCGCCACGGAATAGCCGAAGTGACTGCCCTCCGGCCCTTTCTTGACCACAGGATCGTCCGTGTCCAGGTTAAAACAGAGACCCCGGGAGAACTGGACGCAGAGAACGGAGAGGAGAAGGAGAGGTACCCGTCCTCGGTGCGCCATGGTGCCGACTGCTTTCAAAAAGGGTACCGTCCCGGGGGGACCACTCTGTTCACCCACTGTAGGGGTCCTGGGTCTACTGGCAATCCGTCAAACCATTCATACATGTAACGTGGTCTATTCCCTTTACACTACGCTGAGACCAGTGACCAAAGAATTGATAGATTGCTCAAAGAATTCCATGCATAGAGAACATTTCTTACACTGTGTGTTTTACTGAACATTTATATCTTGCATAATATTCCAAGTATGCAATTCTGTAATCAAGGGTCACACAAATCTAATCTTGGTCGCTCCGTGATTACAGTAAAGTGGAAATGGGTACTTCTCTATAGTTTAAAATTATCAATAGGTTAACCCATCAATAAGTTAATTCAAAATAAAATTTGACACATTCATCCGAATAGGTGGTAACACTATGTTGCCATGTTCCCGAGTCATTTCTATCATAACGACATATAATGTTTTCAAATTTGTTCTGGACAGTCATATTCGGTTAGAAATCGCTAAAAGTGGCCCTACTGACATTCACAATCTGAGCGTTAACATGTTAGTTATGAAGTGGTCCCCCCGGTACAGGACAAACCCCATTGAAGCCAGTCCCCACACTGAGTGGTGGCATGTATATACATGGGACGTTACCGCACAGTGTAATGCACTGTATGACAATTAAGGTCGAGCCTAAGGTTCCGTGACCACCTACCAGTTGTCGGGGTTTAGGGTGCGTTCAAGCTTACACAACAAAAACACACTTAAGCTTTAAGTTGAAACCTTTGTGTCCACAGTTAACTTTTGTTGCACGAGGTCACGCATAACGCCATATCCTGAAAACATCTGTTACATATGATTAATATTTCTGATGTTGAATACAATGCATTATCAGTTTTATCATTTTTATGTTTTGCTCATGACAAAATGATGAAAGTGGTTTTAAAAACCGCACTTTGGGTTCACTTAAACGTTCTTCAATAGAAAGTTATGCACGTAATGTATATAAGTTTAAGTCCCGCATTTTGGTATAGATACCACTAGTTAGAGTAGGTGTAAAGTAAGTCATAGGCAAAGTGTTGGCTGCAAGGTTCAAAAGATCCGCCAGGAGTCCCCACAAACCGACCGGACAAGTTGTGCAACAAAGAAATAGCCCCAGGCTATTAAATGGTATCATCATTATCTTTATGTGCATACGTAATACTCAGGTGGTGTCTAGCAACAGGGAGGGCACACAGCATATAAGTACGTGTACAAAATTACTGGTCCTGAAGACTATATATTTCCTTACGGATACAAGGATAGGACAACGAGCAGCACTCTATTCAAGACAGAAGTTACAAGAAGTAGTGACGGTGTTTCGACTTGCTAGTCACCAGTTTGATCCTGTCTGATCTACATGTACTTATACTGTCACACTTCCAGCTCTACAGAACGGACGGCTTACTACTATTATTCATGATCTACAATATCCTGTTTGCTCGTATATCCTGGGGCCACTGACAGCGTACATCGGCCATTGCCCGTTTGCTGTATGCACTAAGGACGGAGCTCCAGATCTAGAGGTAAACTGTTTTCACTTCCGTGTTGCTTTAACGTACATGTATGGTCTGAAATATGCTGTCACATACACAGACACATTAGGGAATCCGGAAGAATGTTTGAAATTTGATAATGGATATTCAGTAATATAACATGTGAAACTAGAGTTTCATGGATGTCATACCTTCGCCAAATCATATGCATGCAAACCTTTATGACTGAGAAATTATAGATTAATCGTCCTAATTATGCATATAGGATCCTCAATTGCATGTATTATATCTGTTGATCAAATTCTCCAGCAAAAGACAGTCTTATCAGAATGCCATTATAGCACTTCCTCATAGATTATGCAAATGATTTTGGAAGTTCTGCTGCAGTACCATGCCAACCACCAGGGGGCCAAAATCTAATCATTTTAAGGGCCAGGTCTCATCAAGACCTACCCACCTACCAAATATCAAGACAATCCATCACAGCCTTCTCGAGTTATCGTGTTCACACACACACACACACACTCATACACACACACAGCACACACAGACACACACACACAGACACACACAGACATACACACACACACACACATACACAGACACACACACACTCATACACACACACAGCACACACGGACAGACACACACACACACACACACACACACACACACTCATACACACACACAGCACACACAGACACACACACACAGACACACACACACACACACACACACACACAAAAGACACACAAAGACACACACATACGCCAACGCCATTATAAACATAACCTTCTTGGCAAAGGTAATAATGTTGCTCAGTTAAAATAAGTTAGCATTGGATGCCTTGATTAAACTTTTATACCACACTGGCCTCTTCTATCAACAAAAATATTATAAGCTTCATCAATATAGGCAGATACACAATACTAAAAATTAAATATTGCTTCATATTACAATATGAATGTCTGATACAGCTGGGGAATAATGTGAACTAGCACACAAATCATGATTGCTTACATACACACACTGAAAACAATTAGAACTATTTTGTATATTTTTTTCATGGCTGTCACAAAAATAGATCACGGCCTGCGTGAATTAATGTCACTTCTAGATTTGAACATAAACAAAAATTACACAAACGTGTCACTAAAAATATCAGCTGACATCATGTGATTGTTAGAAATGTATCAAATGTGTCCCATTGTCACATCAACTCAAGTTCTGTGGGCAGTTATGACCATTCCATATGACCATAACCTGCATACAAGGGCCATCATCTTTGTGCATCATTATCAGTAGCGGGGGAAGACAGTGATTGTGCTTTGGTTGATCACAACCAACTGTCCTCCCAGCCCCACTGCAACCCCTTTTGGGAGTTTAGCACGGACGGCGATGTGGCGGACATATCTACCCCGGCTTGTGTACACCACCACGCGCTGGTTGTCAGAGTCCACCACCAAGATGTGACCGGAACTGTCCGTACAGATGCCGCGAGGACGATTCAGGTCGCCACCGCTCAGCCCCGGTCCTCCGAACCTCGACCTGTACTGCCCGTTCTCATCGAACTTGTAGATGTAGTGAGCGTTTACGTCGGAGACGAAGATGTTGCCTTCTTCGGTAGCGGTGACGTACGTCGGCTTCTTCATCCGCCGCTGGCCATCCCACAGGAACCTCCCATCCGGCTGGAAGGCTTGCACACCGCCACTGTAACCGTCAGACCAGGTGACGAAAACGTGGTTGTTGTGCAAGCCCACGGCCATTCCGCGGTGCATCCCCCGTGGTGTAGTGTCAGGGAGGTCAAACTTGACTTTCAGGTGACCTTCCCTGTCCACCTGCACCAGGGAGTCAGGGCTGGCAGGGTACCCATTCATCAAGACCCACAGGTGACCATCTCTGTCGATGGACACGTCATCTGGCGTCTTTGACGACGGGTACCCCAGCCCTGGTGCACCTTGGGGAAACTCGTACAGAAAGGCGCCTGCCATGCTGTACACCCTGAGACGGGTTTTGGTGTAGTCAGCCACCCAGATCTTGTTGTCGGGGGAAACTGCGACTCCGCGCGCGCCGCGCAGTTTTCCAGCCCCCGACCCATCACCAAAGGTGATGACGCTGGCCCTGCTGTCATGATCTACGGGAACAAAAGATTGATCTTATTATTACCCCCTTTAATGCAATCCATGTTTAATTTTTTTCTTTATTAGGCCATGTTGATTTGATTATATGGATGGCATCCTCCGGGAGCCCCAAAAGTGATGCGCGCGTGCGAATAAAAAAAAAGTTTTGCAAAAAAAAAAGTTCTTTTCATTATGAAATCTACGTGGTCATGAGGGTTGAGCAAATGGTACAGACTATGGTTTGGCGAATAATCTAGTCTTCAAGTTCATTTGGCATTCTACGACATTGGTATAGTTTTTATTAATTTTTTTTTAACTTATGGTATATTTTTGCTCATTTTGCAACTGTTTTGTACGATTTACAGTATGGTTGAAAACTTTTTTTTTGGAAACGGCCGAAAATTCATGCGCGCGCGGATGTCATCCATATAATCAAATCAACATGGCCTTACTCTGGCGTACAGTCGCCTCAATCATGTCATATTTCACAGCCCCCCTATGACACAAAGGTGTAGATGTGATGGGTTGGCAATGTTATCACGAACCTTCAGTGGCGGTTGAAACCGGCTTGTTGATTGGTGCAGGTCCTGTTGAAACCGGCTTGTTGATTGGTGCAGGTCCTGTTGAAACCGGCTTGTTGATTGGTCCAGGTCCTGCTGCTTCCGTGACGCCGTGTGAGGGACCACGTCCGTGGACCGGACTCACCTAAACAGTTAGGATGGGTCAAATTGTAAACAAACCACCATTTCTGCAACAGGCATGAGAAACATTCTATAATTTCCATTTCGACTTCTTTCTACCACAGATCATGGATACATTTGTCGCCTTTCCAGTTTTATGTCCATTTTTATTAGTATTACACAAAGGACAAGGTCAATGTGACGTACATTCAAGTTACTTCTTATTTGTCTATATGCTACGTACACAACAATAATCAGCAGTGTGTACAGTACAGTGTACCCCCCTCCCGTTACACAATGTTTTTTTTATATATTTCAACATTTCATGACTAGACATGGTGACGGCACACTCAAGTTTATATCAACTTATTTTATGCCGCCACCAACGCATAGGACAAATACAGGGTTGGACAATACTAATTTTCATTAGAGTTAAGTGAGGAAAGTCATTTAAAGTGCCTTTCCCAAGGGCATGTCAGGACTCGAACCCGAGACCTCTTGGTTCCGAGTCGAGCACTCTGCCGTTACGCCACACGATCCCACGACAGATGCCTAATTACAATATGCATACAATGTGTATGAGAAAATGTAGTGCTTGACTTCTATATTTATATCTATGTCTAGTTTGTCTACCGTGGCTTCAATTATGCTAAATGAGCAGCCACCATAAACCCAAGGAACACCGACTAGTACTGACCTTGATGACATCAGCCGATGTCACTTTGTCGGTCTTCATCAGCGCAGTAGAACTTCGCCAGGCAGTGCTGTCAGCGGTGTTACGTCCTGATTTAGTTGTAGCCGGCTGCGAAGACGTAAACAATACTTGGTTGTACCCATCGATACAAAAGACAACGCAATTTGAAGAAATCATTCCTCATTTACCAAAAACATTATCTGATATACTTTGTTTGAGCGCCAAGGATGCAGCTTTGAAGTCGTCTGCTGATTTATGTTAACCGTGGCTGCAATCATACTAAACGAGCACCCCTCCCAAACCCAACGGAGGCTGACAAGTACTGACCTTGATGACGTCAGCAGTTGTCATCAAGGTCAGTGCTTTGTCAGTCCTCGTCATCACAGTAGAGCTTTGCCAGACAGTCTTGCCAGCGGTGCTAGGTCCTGCTTTGCTTATAGCCGACTGTAAAGTTGTAAATAAACAACTCCATGTTTTCGCATCGTTTTTAAGACAAGGTCGTTATCTGCAAATCAACAAGTATCTCCATCTAATGTGCTTTTTGTCTTCTTGCTAGCTTTTTTTCCCAATCTTTATGTTTACCGAAGGAATACATATTGCTTTTGCTCAGTTTCTTCTTCTTCTCCAAACAGTGACCTATAACCTCACCAATGACATGATTTGTTGACGTCTGTCACCATGGTGACTGGTGTTGGGTTACATAATGTTGCAATTTCATGGTCTGCTCTGCTCCTGTCACCATAAACATGTGTGTGAATCAAAACGAATCAGGGCACTTACAGAATCCTGGTTGTCAGGTCGGGAGTTGAGGTGCGTCAGAAGTACAGACACCACGATCAGCAGTGTTACCATGGTAACGGACGATATGGCGACGCACAGCAGCAGGCGGGGGGACTGGTGATGACGTAACCGTTCCCAAATGGTGCGACTCTCCGGGACTGGGCCTACGCCTATGCCGGTGGGCAGTCAAGAAATGTATCAATTGTGTTAATTAAGATGCTCCTCCTAAAGGTTTTACTTTGAAAATTGTAATTGTGGTTGTCAACAACAGCACACTCTCTGTGTCAGCGTGTTTTAAGGCATTATCAAGAGAACTGAAGATTACTCAACAATTGCTATTTATTGCTTTCTAAATAAGATAAAATTAGTGGGAACTCAAATTTCTTTGCTACGTTTGCATTTCGTATTAAGCGAAAATTTCCAAAAAAGCATTTCCATTAAAGCAATAGCTATAGAACAGAATGAAATGGCTGATTCCACGAAACGTACGAATAAGACAATTGTGTTGTTATATATACCAACCTTGAGGGTGGTTCACGTTGGAGTCGTACATGGCGTTCGGCTGCAGCTGATTGATGATGGCTTGCGGATTCAGCAGCATCTGTGGCCAGCTCGGCAGTTGTTGGGCCCCGCCGGGCGGTCCTCCGGGTCTCGGTGTTGAGGGGACAGGTGGTGGGCTGTCATCCCGGTTCAGAGCTGGCCCGAGACCCTGTCTGAACGTGTCGTCATTCTCGTACGTGTGTGCGGCGGCCGCCGCAGGTTGGGTCCCATCAGATGGGCCTCCTGGCCTCGGGGACTTGGGAATGGTCGGAGCTCCGAAAACGTCGCGGTTTAGAGGTTGTCCGAGGCCCTGTCTGAACGTGTCCCCATCCTCGTACACGTGTGCGGCGGCCGCCACAGGCTGGGCCCCGCCGGTGGTTCTTCCTGGCCTCTGGGTAGAGAGGACCGGCCGGGCGCTGCGGACTTCTCGGTTCAGAGGTTGACCGGGGCCGTCTGCTGGTGGACTGTCGTCTGCCGGACCGCCCGAGGCTGTCATCTCGGCTTGGGTCGCCCCAAACACTTCTTTGGGAGTCGTTTGTTGGTCATGGTCACTTCCATCGGATTCTACAATCAAAAGTACTAGTAATTGCATATTACTAAATTGTCAGCACAAGGATAGTTAAGTTAAAGATTGTACAAACAGACAGAAATTGATGAATCTGATGTAACAATTTATTATGTATGTACATATGTATTCGATACTCAATAAAGAACAGAGATGCAAAAAAAAAAATTGTCAGCAGACGGGTTAAACTTTGTGCTCAGATATTGATTTAAGAGTACTAAACACTTACACATCACTTGCCATGTACTAGTATATCGCTCATGGATAAGTCATACTTTCAACCAAATCAGGATTATGGTGTGTTGATGCCGTTTGAGACAATAAGGCCACAACATGTAATTTTTGTGGATCACATCAGCGCGTGCATGAAAAAAAGCAAGAAATTTTGAACAGCCCCAAAATGGCAAATCAGTTCACTGACCACCAGGGATCCAGCAAACCTGAGGCACGATTGCTCGTGTTTGATGGTGTTAACACTGACAACTCTAAGTTGTTCTATCGCTTTTTCTTCTTTTCCAATATCCTATGCTCTAACAACCTGTTGAAATTATTTTCGGTATTAATATTCCTCTCTTTCTAAGATACTTAAATTTTTTCAAAGGTACACTATGTTGTATAAATAGTGTTCAGCACCAAGGACAGGTACACTGACATGCGTGGATAGTATTCAGCACCAAGGACAGGTACACTAGCATATGTAGATGATGTTCAGCACCAAGGGCAGGTACACTAGCATGAGTAGATAATGTTCAGCACCAAGGGCAGGTACACTAGCATGTGTAGATAATGTTCAGCACCAAGGGCAGGTACACTAGCATGTGTAGATAATGTTCAGCACCAAGGACAGGTACACTAGCATGTGTAGATAGTGTTGGAATGTATCTATACATTGACGGAATGTAGTGTTCTCTTTATTTATGCAAACGACGTTTGGGCAGAAAGCTTCCACTTCTACAGCACACCATTATGTCAATAATTCGTGTGTGACAGTGTGTGTGTGTGTGTGTGTGTGTGTGAGTGTGTGTGCGTGTGTGTGTGTGTGTGGTAAAGCTTATTGTTCTCCATTCAATTTCAAAGAATTCAAGGATTTGGCCTCCATCCTTTGAATTAAAAGAATTGAATTAAAGAGGAAATGTTGCATGGGTCCTGTACGATTAAGTAGTCGATATTTACATGAACATTCAAGATGAGAAAATACCTATTATAGAGTGTTGCTTGTTGTCAACCAGAGTTGCTAGGTCGTTGCTAAGGGGGGCGTGGCTTTGGTGATGGTCTACACGTTTTTGGTACGTGAGAGTATGAATCTTGAAATCTCTATATGTAATGCAGAACTCAAACCACAACCCCTAACACTGGTATCGTAGGTCAGCATGATAACTGATCAGATACACGGTTGCCCCAAGAATAATTGCAAATTCTGAATACTGGCACAGTGCTCGTGTTCGATGTTGAAATTGTGCTACCACAAATTAAAAGGCAAAAACTACAAAATAACCACCAAATCCGAGAATATTGTGATGTGTCAACAAACATCTAAATTGGTAGGTTTTTTTTGCAGTAGTAGACTTTTTTGTTCGTTCTTGAAAAATTCATTTTGTTATGTATTCTTAAGACACAAAAGATGTACATTTTTCGTTTTTGTACTGGCTTACTAGCTTTAAGGCTTATTTTGTTAACATTCTTTTCACATAGCAAGCGTTTTAAACTGCGCTTCTAGTGTATTTTCATTCAGAGAGCAACCTAGAACGCTACAACCGGCCCAAACAAAACTCTACCAGTTATAAAATACTATAATTGATAGGGTTGTGTTTCTTCGGTTGTAGCTGACTCATGGACAGAGTAAGATAGCCTATGCTAGTTTGGCGGCCTTTTATCTAGTTCTACACATGTAATGTTAGAATTAGAACTGACCTGACGGCAGATCTAGATCTGCCCCGTACATCGGGTTCAGCGGCAGCTTGACGAGGTCTTCCTCCCGTAGCCTGTGCCGGTACACGCCTGCCGTTCTCCCGTCTCTCTGTTTGGGGCGGATCGGCGTCACCGATGGTTCGTCTGGAGCCTGTTCGGGGGGACGAGGCGGTAGTCCCGGGGTCTCTTCCGTGTGACGCGACGGTACCTGGAACGAACGGTTTATTTACTTCAGAGAACTAGCAGTTGTCAGGGCAAGGGTTAGGATTAGGGATCAAAACTATGAGTCAAAACGCACAGTCATTACTATTGATAAATTAATTTTTCTTATCAAAACGGCAAAAACATAAAAACATACAAGATGGCGTCGAACTCAAGTTCCATGGAACTTAAATTAACTGCGCCATCTACACAAAATGATTAAACAGAGATATACTGATTACATGGACAAATAAACAAATATACAACATCGGAACAAGCTAATTGGGGTTTAGTAAGTGAAATTTAACGAGCGCAAGTCCCAACCCCTATCCCTTAGAATAGAATAGAACGAGTAGAATAATTGAAATCAAAAGATCAATCATATACAAAACGACCACTTTTAAGTAAAGCTCATACTTTTACAATTAGTCTCAAAACTGCAAAAGGATGATACGTAAAGTAAAAGATGTAATGAAATAAATTATTTCATTTATATATAATGAACGTGTCTACAAACCTTTTCGGTCGTTCTTCCACCCCTCCGTCTAGAACGGCGAGTCGGATCCTCCGGAATTTGTCCGGAATGACGAGACGGTAGCCCCTGAGTCTGTTTGGGGCGGCAGGACGGATCCGTCCGGGTCTGTTCGGGGGGAAGAGGCGGAGGTATCCCCGGATCCTGGCGGTTGAAGCCCCCCTGGAGGACTGACATTTCTATTTCTTCACTCTCCAGACGTGGTGTCTCCCGTGGGTCAGCCATCACTGCGGATATCTGTTGGCTTGCTGTTTAGATGATCTGATGTAGTCCGTCTGCCGGCGGCGCACCCGCCAGCCAGCACTTCGGCTGGTACATAATCTGGAGCTGATCGCTTTCCTAGCTGTTTGTAACTTGCCTCTAATAATTGTCTAGAAGTCTGATGTTGCGATTTTTATGCATAACCAACAGCTGTGACTTACGATGTATTAGAGTGTATTTTTTTATAATAATGTAGTATTTTGCTGCTGGGCTAAAATCTTCTTTATTCTGCACCGTAAACCTTATGATAGATTATCCTAAGATAATAGTAAAGTATTGTGTCTCCTATTTCGTTGTAGAGATAATTTTCCATTGGTCACGTACACAAGCTCCCCTTTGGCATATCGTAGACTTATTTTGCTGCATTCCGTATAGCTTACGTAAGTTTGCGGAGAAGGACTACAAAGAGTTTATAGAATTTAATTTCCTCGCAGAATTTGTGGCACGGGTGTGTATAAATATGGATTTTCTTTGAACTATTTCTGTTGTGTTTTCTCTTGTTTTCAGCCTTCTTATACAACTACACCAATCGTCTAGAAACTGAGTTTGATGTTTTACTTGCATTACCAGCAATAGTCACTTTTCACGTACCGAGAATTCTCATCTTTATGAAACAATAATGTATGAGAAACTTATGAACTAATTATGAGTTTGAATCATAGTACATTACCATCTTCTCAACCTGATAATTTGCAACCATACATGTAGGCTACCTGAATATAGTGTCATTTGTTTAGTTAACATAACGGTTCTTTTAACGTTGGTTCATGCTGCAGTACCATAACATGCCGCTTGGAGGCCCAAAATCTAAACATTGATAGGTCTCATCAAGACCTACCCACCTACCAACTTTAATTACATTCCATCCAAAGCTTCTAGAGTTATCTTGCTAAACCACACGCACACACACGCGCGCACACACACACACACACAAACTCACACACACACAAACTCACACACAAACGCTACTGAAAGCATAACCTTCTTTGCGAAGGTAACAACACACTAACAATAAATTATGGTCTGTGTACAGTATTATGTTTGGGGGAAGGGTAGTAGAGGTAAATACTTGATATATCTAAATCCCTCGCCACACATAAGCGAGCCAAACAGACATTTGAGGTTGCATTAACCCTGTATTGATTGTACTTTGGTATTTCAGAGCCGACTATATAAATACAATCAGCTGGCATCGGAAACCAGATAACCTATGGCAATGGCCAGCAGTCAGCAGTTCCCAACAGACGGGTAAGTACTTACTAACTCAAGAACAACATGGGTGCTGCTCAGCAGCACCCATGTTGTTCTTGAGTTAGTAAGTACTTACCCGTCTGTTGGGAACTGCTGACTGCTGGCCATTGCCATAGGTTATCTGGTTTCCGATGCCAGCTGATTGTATTTATATAGTCGGCTCTGAAATACCAAAGTACAATCAATACAGGGTTAATGCAACCTCAAATGTCTGTTTGTATGTATATCAAGTTTAAATCAAAATGTTGTTTCTGGCAGTATTGCTGTAATATATTGTTCATGTATATTGTATATTGCACCCCAGTTTTCGGGTGGTTTTCGAGCCATAGTCCATCATTTATTTGACGGAATTTTGCTGCACATGACAGGCAAAAATTTTATCCAATCTTTGACTGCAAAGCATCGGCATGAGATGTCATTGAACTTAACTGAGTTTACCAGCAAAATTTACCCCTGAAATTGAAAATGCAGGAAATGGCGTTTCAGAGGGTCAAGATTTCAACATTTTCCCGGGGAGCCACATGCCTCTGGATCCCTATAGGCGCCTCGTGCCTTCGGCGATCAACATGGTGTTACGTCAAACAAAATTGAGATGACAGAAAAAAATGAGGCTGGCTAAAATACTACTAGTATATTATAGTGAATTTTTCCTCACAATTGTTGACTTACGAATATCAGCCCAGCTGCCTGTAAGTCAGTGTAATGACTAATGTACTGTTGCATTTGAAATAGACGAATAAATAAATTTTCTCACACAGGAGTGTCCGTCCCGGGGAAGTTGACCAGCTCACCATCTCTGAGGATCACCTGTCCCGGGACGAGCTAGACGAACTGGCGCGAATCCGCGATGAGGACGGTGACACCCCGGACTTCGAGAAAATCGCCCACAGGATGACACTCAAGCTGCAAGACGCGGAGCACGCCACCGTGAACATCGGCATCGTCGGGGAAGCAGGGGCGGGGAAGAGCACGTTTATAAACTCGTTCCGCGGGATAAAGCCTGGTGAGGAGGGCGCGGCAGAAGTCTCGGCTATCCGCCACACCACCAACGCAGTCACGCGGTACCCTGTACCGGACAACAAAAACATCGTCCTCGTCGACTTTCCCGGAGTCATCTTTCGGAACACCAGAACTGATGTGGTGGAGGAGTTTAACACGGAGAGCTACCTCGGACTCTACCGAGCAGACATGGAGGAATGCGACGTCTTCCTGGTCTTCGTGACATGTCGAGTGAGCAACAACATCATCTGGATTGCCAACGAAGTCAGAAAGATGAAGAAAAGCGTTCTTTTCGTGAGGTCGAAATTTGACGTTGACTTGGCAAATGAGAGTAGAGACAACCGCAGACGTTTTCCTAACGGTACGTCCACAACTACTGCAGAGGTGCAGCGTTTTCAAGAAGAGTTGCGTAAGGTTACGAAGAAGGAGCTGGAGAGGCTTAGCTACACGGAGGTGAAGGAGAACATGGTGTTTGTAATATGCGGACTGTCGGAAGAGGTCGCTTCTGGTACATACGACATGACCAGTCTCCGTAAGGCTATCTACAACACGCTGACGGCGGACAAGAAGGGAGTACTCATTAACGGTTTGGTGGAGTTTGCTACAGACATGGTACATGATAAAGCGGAGTATCTGAGATCGCGGGAGGTTATAGCAGCGGCCGTAGCTAACACAGTCATCAGCGCAACACCCATACCGGGCCTGGGCTTAGCTCTAGATATCGGTACGATACATTTTTTATCTGTCCAAGTGTTTTTTCTGTCCTTCTGTTTTATATCCATTGCAATTCAAATTCATATTCATACTTCGTGTCAGTGTCTCAAACATAAATGGTACCAAATACTTGATGTTGGCAGCCAAAGTTGACTCAAATTTAATTCAAATCCGATTTGCATAGGAACGTAGATGTGGACTAAATCTTGGGTCAGACTGCACCCGAACTTCAGCCAACCTTGGTCGGCTGGTGTTCTGGAGAAGGTTTTGAATGTGAGACAGGGGCTTAAGACTGTGTCTTGTTTTTATTGTCTTTATATCTCACTACATATCTCAATTTCTTCAGGAATACTTGTGGGAGGATATCACCGTTCCAAGAGAGCCCTGTGCCTTAACGACAACTCCCTCAGGCAGCTAGCGGCAGTGGGAAACAAAGACTTCGAAAGTCTCAAGAAGTTTGTCGACAGAAGGTTGGTCCTGGGCGAAAAGATCAAGAACGCGTCCGGGCCGGTGGCGATTCGCACGATCATCGGTTTGGCAGCGTCGGGTGTTACCCTGGGTGCCCTGGCGTTCACCAGTCTGGCCATGAGAGTTGCCCTTCCAGTTGTAGGCGGGATCATAGCGGCACCGGCCTCGGCCGCACTGGTGGTGTACATCATGCGGAAAATGATCAACGAAATGGAGGCGTGTGCCATCGAGCTTCACGAGTATGCGTTTGGTGAAGAACCGAGGTACGTGTAACAGTGGGGTTTAAGCGTCAGGATTTGAATCAGACCTTTTCGCCTAGCGGTGAGGGCGTTGGGGTCGCAAGCTAGCGGCCCGGGTTCGATTCCCCGAGCCCCCTTTGTGTTTCTATGTGTTTCTGCACTGCTTGCCCCTTATAATTAGTTGTTTCATACGTACAAACGTTAACCCAACTATAATCTCTCCGGAAAATGTCATGATTAATTTTGTAGAAGAATATGGACTGGCAAATGAAAATTCTGACATTAAACTCTACCCCATTTCTTACACAGTCCAGCCAACATCGGGATGGTAGGTAAAGACTGTCCCGGCAGAACAGAGTTCCTGAACGCCATCCGTGGCATCCGCAGTAACGATCTAAAACCCCCCATCCCAGAGAAAAGCTCCAAAAAGCTTAAAGAGCACGAATCTTCGGAAAACCTGGTCTTCGTGGAGTTCCCCAGCCCGCAGGTGAAGAAGTCGTTTTTTCGAGACACAATAGACGAGGATGGGTACAGGAAGAACTACGGGGACGACTTGAAACTGTGCGACGTCTGCTTGGTTTTCGTCGACAAAGATGTCACCGCCGAAACGGTCGCCGTAGCAAAGATCGCACAGGAGAGGACTAAAGTGCTGTTCGTAAGGTAAGTCAATGAAGAATGTATCAGGTAATACTAAAGGCTGTATAAGAAGGCTCTTCATTCAACAACCAGTTCGTTGTCACGTTTGGGACAGCATTTGTAAAATTGCAGCAGAAGCGACACCTAGCTGCAGTACGAATCAGAATCATTGTGAAATTGCAGCAGCGACACCTAGCTGCAGTACGAATCAGAATCATTGTGAAATTGCAGCAGAGACAACTAGCATCAGAATCATTGTTGTCCTGATGAAAGAACCTTCTTATACAACATATGACATTAGCAGCATATACACATTTCATAACTTATAATGTCTAATATTCTTCCTTAGGCTAAATGAGTTCCATCCTTCAGCAAACCAGAGTGGAGCAAGTGTGATCAACGCTTTTCGGAAGCAGCTAGAAAAAGTCAAGTTGGGTGACATAGACATGTCTGATGTCTTCATCATCAGCCCCGAGTATGACGCCGTGACTCAAGACATCGGAGAAACTCCTGCTCTGAGACGGGCCATCTTCAAGGAGCTCCAGGACGTTGATAAGACAGACAGGTGAGTTGTTTACTTGTAAACCAGGTGTTGCTGTAAGACTTAAAAGCATCTACTACACTCAAAGACATTGTTGACATTTTCTCTACATCACACATTCTTGTAGGTAATTTTATGGTAAATAAGGTTGTATCTGTTTAAAGGTAAAACTTTTATTCCAACACAACATTAAAGGTACATCTAAAGCTTTGACCAGTCACTCTGGTCTTCCTCAGTAGACTGACCCATTGAGACTTGTCACGTGGTAAATGATGTCAACCCCCGTCACAGTTGAGTGAAGGGTGATGCACCCTGATGTACATAGCCTCTTAAGCTTTCACCCCTCTCAGGAAGTAGTCTTGTTTTGTGTCCAATATTCTCACACATACTACCAACACAGATGAACTTTCATGATAGTATAAGGTGGTATCTGTTTCTTTTTTACAGAAACATGGTGTACATGAGTTTGGACACACTGATGCTGAATGACGATGATGCAGGAACCATCACCAAAAGTCTAGCGGACGGTTTGAGAGGCATAGAGATGTTAGGACAGAACCAGTCAGATGATGTGACAGACCTGATCAAGAGCAAAGAAGACTGCCTGCCAAAGTGGGAGCAGACAATGGTTCGGATAGGTGAGATTTGGTGATGAAAATGATGCTGGCTATAGTCACAACGCAAACATTACATGTATTTTGCTCATTTTATGCCTTCAACAAGTTCTTTGAGAGCTAGATTTTGATTCGGCTATGTGCCCACTTTAGAGAATGTTCACCGCAGTGCAGTTAATTCAATTCAAATTCGATGCAATTTATATTATTCAAAGCCTTTATTTTATTATTCAAAGCTGTTAACGTTTGGCCGCAACATCTGTTATGTAATAGTATGTTCATCTGAAGTGTAACTGACACTGTTAACTGTTCCGAATTGTTTATGTTCTTGTTGTGAGGGCTAGCCCTTTATAATAGCCTCCGGCTATAGTTGGGCAGTCCTGGCTGTATACATATGTGTTATCAGCCTAATAAATCAAATCAAATCAAAGCCATTATTTTGCCTTGATGGCTTGTTTGGCCATGTGGTCACTTTATAACTAAGTATTAGTAGCAATACAATAAATAGATAACGAAATAAACAAATAAAATTAAACCAATGAAACCCATGCATCAAAAATGGTTTCTATGATTTAACATCCAGGTATTATCAGTGACCATGGAGCAGGAGCTAACACCTTCATCAGTTCTGTCCTGGGTTATCGTGAGAAGGTGGCCTCCCGTACAGCGGCTGGGTCCACACAAACAGAGTACACCTCAGCTGACACACAACGCCCACAGAACCTCACTGTGGTCAGATTCCCTGCAGTGTCATTTGCAATAGGTAAACCAACTTTCGTCATCTATTTATTTATTTATTAACAAAATAAAACATTAGTTGCCAAGAAAAGAATGTTATGGCACAGGGTGAATGGATGTAAAGTTTTCACTTACAATACTACAAAATACTAGTAGTCTGAATAATTTGTCTGAGGAATTTGTTGTAAATTTTATGCTAAACTGGATTGTGAGTGAGTGAGTGAGTGAGTGAGTGAGTGAGTGAGTGAGTGAGGGTGAGTGAGTGAGTGAGTGAGTGAGTGAGTGAGTGAGTGAGTGAGTGAGTGAGTGAGTGAGTGAGTGAGTGAGTGAGTGAGTGAGTGAGTGAGTGAGTGAGAGTGAGTGAGTGAGTTTACAATAAAACATTTTCTATTAAGATTGCATGCTTCATACACATAGGGAGACCAGAAGACATCAAGTCCAGGTACATGAAATGCCAAGCTGAGAACATGAAGAGCTGTGATATCTTCATCGTGCTTTGTGGACAAGTTGTAACCACTGAGACCATCTGGCTAGCAGTCCAGGCACTAGCAATGGACAAGAAGGTATGGAAACACAATGTAGAATAATCATACTATTATAATAGTATTATGATAGACTGAGTGTATATGTGTATAGAAAGATAGATAAAAAATATGTAAGAGTTAGAACCTTTATAAAAGATTCTTGATAAAAATCTGAAAAAATCTCAATGCTACTGGTAATTTTGTTACACTTTTATTTCTTAAATAGCTGCAGCTGCATGAGGTCACAAATTTTACAAAATAATTTTTCAGGTTCTATTTGCAAAGTCAAAGTTTGACCTAGAAGATGAGACCAAACCTCCACCAGAGACTTCCAGAGAACAGGGGGTCAAAAAGAGCCTGGCTACTGCAATTCAGGTTTGCTTGATAAGTTTACATACATGAACATAATCACTGCTTACAACAAATCAGAAATGCCAAAGCTATAGAACTACCAACAACCATCAAGATATAGATACATGTCATTACTTGTATTGGAAATTATAGAATGATATGAATAGCTTCCATCCTCCCTAACTATTCAGAAGATCTGATATTCCTTACTCACTTCACACTTCACTATCTTTGATCTGATATTCTATTGTAGCTTATTAACTCTTCACTCTTAAGTCTTGATCATGAATCATAATTATACTTAATAGTTTATCACTGGTTGTTGTTTTATACAGGACAGGCTTAGTGCAGAAGGATGCACCAGGACAGTGAAGATGGATGACATCTTCCTTATCAGTGGGAACTGGAACAATGTCAAGCAAGGAGCGTTTGACATGGCCAGACTGAGAAAGGCAATCATTGAACCACTTAATGAGCTTCAGAAACAGGTGAGAAGCAATAATTTCACTCCTATTAAAATATCGAATGAATATTTCTGTTGAGTTTTGCTTAATACATGTATCTTATGTTGGTGTCCAATATAACCGAAAAGCTTTGATATGCAAACATTAATATTTCTTGTACCAACAGGCCTTTGTGATGCTGTGTAAAGACTACTCCCCGGGTATGATCCCCACCAAGTCTACACTACTGAAACAGATGGTGTGGACACAGGCTGTCCAGTCAGGAGCTCTGAGGCCCTGGGCTGGACTCATGGTGGACACACCTGTAGACCTAGGTAAACTTTCCTTGTGTTGCTAGTTATATAATATACTGTTAATTTGTTTCGTAATACAATGTATGTAATTGTTAACTGCACCACACAAGCTTGTCATCACTCTACCTAATATTCACTGAAAATTGTAAGCATAAGAAATTTGTTTTGCTTCACAAAAAAATGCTGAAAAGTAGTTAAATTTCTAGTTTAAGATCATCAGAAGTAACATATCAGTTGAGATTTGCCTCTACTGCATCTTTCAAGTTGTCCCAGACCATAATCACGGGTCCTATATTCGAAAAGATATTCTTGCTACATCTAAAGTCTGCTTATGCCAGAGATATACAAACCTGTTATGTTAAATTCCCAATTGAAACATGAATTTCTTTTTTATCACAGAGTCAATCAAGGAATCCTGTGATGTGTACAAGAGGTGTTTTGGCCTGGATGAGGCTTCCCTGGAAGACTTGGCTGAGTTATCTGGGATAAATAAGGAGTGTATCCGAGAGTCCGTACGAAGGAAACTGCCCATATGTACAAGTCTCTTGGACACTACTGATCCATTGCCACAACCCAATATCCGTGGGCTTGTTGGCATGATGGCCAAAAATGGCAGTACTCTCATGACTCTTGAAGTTGCAAATTACTCGTTTGAAACGACTGTAAACTGCGGCTCATTGAAAGGGAAAGCCATGCATGTTGTTGCATATTTCCTGCGTAAGATAATCACTGAACAGGCAGAATGTGCATGTGCACTCTATGAGGAACTCTTTAACACCAGATAAGGTTGTGTTTTGTTACACAGGTGAAATGCTTAGTATAACTTTCCTCAACATCACAAAAGCTAGTTTTGTGGCTGGACCGTTACATCTTTTAAGTCTGTTGTTTTACTTTAATTTTTGATATGGAGTTATGGTTAATGTTATACTACAAACAGGGTGCACTCATTCTTTGGTGAATAAAGATGAGGTCTGCATGTGTGTATCCATGTAAAAGTTTAAATCTTTACTGACTTACAGTTATTACAGTAGCTTATATTATCATGGCATAACGTATAAATACCTTAAGCTATATCATCACAGGAAAATACAGTTAGTAATATTTACTGCTAGACAGTCAGTATGCGCCTTTAAGTTCATAATCTGTAAATGGTCCTTCAATATGTGTATTTGCCTTTCACTGGACCAGGTGTTACTGTACTGTGAGGAAAGGCACAATGTCATACAGATCACCTGATTCATGCATCCAATCAGACTAAGCCTACATGTTTCTGTGTACCTTTGACATCTCTGAGTCAGCCAAAATAAACTGCCCAATGATACCAAGTCTGAAGTACATACTTTAGTTTGTTTTGTTACATTGGAAATCAATAATTAAAGGGACTGTCAATGTAAGAGGGGCGATTTGAAACAAATTTTGAAGTAAAAAAAAAAGATTGAATGTGTAAAATGTCTGACCAGTACCCCCGACCTGTTGAAATGGAACAGTCTGGCATACTTGTATATCAGGATGAAGGATGTTTACTCAACGTGATGACGTTTATCTGTCTCAATCACATGATTGTCACAAGTTAACAGTTGGACTGTAAGGTGCGGTGAGGTAAGGAGAACTTTTTTTATGAAGTTATTCATACATAGATACATACATGTAGCACTTAAGATTACGTGTGAGTATATCACCTAGGTAACAGGCAAACATCTCAACCATAATACACCACATGGTTCCACATACAAGATAACATGAGCAGGATAATTGTACAAGACTAGTGGTGGATGCATGTATGAGTCTGATGTTGTTACATGTACGGCTCAAGAAGCTTCTAGCTCAAGATAATTTGGTGTGATGTCAGAATATTAATTTCAAAGATGAAAAAAAGTTTCTCAGTTTCTTTTGGATCCCACTGTAAATATGAATTATAGTTCAATGAACAGTTTTTCCCAGACTGTCCTACCGTGAACATAAAGTGAATCACGAAATTTTATTTCAGACAACACACAGACCTAAGAAAATGGGAAACAATCAGAGCACAAATACCCAAGAGGACCATCCCTTCCTCCAAGTGGTTGATGATGCTGAGTGAGTCTTTACTTTCTTTGTGTTTCTTTCTGCAGATTGTGATGTAAATAAAGTAGGTGTAACTCACTTATTTTTCATGGTACACATGTACTTGCATCGTCACATCAGATTCTGTACTGCAAACATATCCGTTAACAAATAATTCACAGACTTTCTTTTCTCTGCACCTTCCAACACCATGAACATACGGTTCCATGAAAACATACAATTTTCTCAGACTGTACTACCATGAACAGGAAATGAATTACAGTGTGTGTAACAAGTGAATTACTGTGAATTACAGCTGCATACTCCTTAATTGCAGTGTATCACATTCCTAAAGTAAAGTAAAGTAATTCCTAGAACTCTTCCCTGAAATAGAATGATTTGGTATAGTCCTGTGTCAGCTAGAGCCTGCCACTCTGGCAGTATTGTTTTCAAAGTCTTCAGTCCTTGACGCAGGTTTGTTGCCAGATCATGCTCAAGTACCTTTTATCTTATTGTTTAGAGAGTGGGAGGGAGTTAGAGAGAGAGCACTTAAAATGTTTGTATTACTTTTGCCCTACTAAGACCCTGTTCACATTCATTCTGTCTATTCGATTAAATGAGCTATCCGAATAGAAAATTGTCTATCCGAATAATTTTTTGGAGTGTGAACGCTCCAAATCACTTAGATTTTACCCGAATCGATTCCAAAATAATCCACCTTGGGAGGTGGTTTGAAACACTTGCGGCGGTTTCGAATCGGACGAAACCGCGAGTGTGAACGCAAAGTGAATTGGATTCGGGTGGTGTGACATCATTGCTAGCGGTCTTACCAATCAGAGCGTAGAACGCTGGCTGCTACTTACATATTAATGAGAAAATGGCTCCCTGTTTTTCAGGAGAGAATACGTGTTACGAGTTTCTTTTTCCGCGGATTTTCTGACGTTCGTCGCCAATTTTTGGCACGCTATGATAACGCTACTGTTGATACTCTACTGGAGACAACAGATGAGTGATCATTTTACAATCGACGAGAATTTTTGTGGAATGAAACGGCAGTGAAAGCTACGATGCAGCAAGTTATTTTGTTAACAAACTATTTGTCAACGTCTCGTAATTGAAAGAAAAGAGGCGTTTTGTTTTATTTTTTGACGTGATCTTACCTGGTAATTTGTAGTGGGAATGTTTCCAGTACGTGAGAAGTGGGAAGGTGGCGCCTTGGTAAAATTTTCTTGCGAAATATGAGTTTACGAAGCGAGGCTCGTGATACATATAAATGTTTGGTGAAAATATGACGTAGCAACATGGCAATTCTTTCGCGGGCGGGCGCAATTCGAATCGGCGAAAAGCAGTGCGAACGCTCTTGTGGATTCAGTGTCAATTCAGATAGACAATTTTCTATTCGGATAGCCCTTTTAATCAAATAGACAGAATGAATGTGAACAGGGTCTAAGAAAGAGTACCTTTATTACACCTTGTAATATATCATGTCATGTAAATGGCACCTTGTTTTGGGGACAAATAGTTTTAAAGATAAAGGATATGAATATATTAAGCAAATTTAAGAATTTTGTATATGAGCCTATTTTGCAGTGGATGTTTTCTAATGGATCATGCAAATATATTATACAAGATGCTCATCATATTAGTACAAATGTATGTAATGCAATTTGTCCAAAATATGAAAAGTCTAATATCTTAGGAAATAAGGATGACAACGGGTTATAGCATTTTCTCACATTAACTTTTTAAAAGATAATTTTTATTATTAAAAGAGCATGACCATAGCATGCAGTACCATAAAAAGCTGACAGGAGGTCCAAAACTAAATTTGGCCTTCATTGTGCCAACACCTGCACACATACTAAATATCATAAAATTATTCATTCACAACTTCACAAGTTATGCTGTCCACAAACAAGCAAACAAACAAACAACAAGAAAAGGCACCAAAATCATCTTGGTAAAGGCGTTTAGTTTAGTAGCACATGTTTAGTAGTAGATAGCGCTATGGGCTAGATATAAATCAAGATCATGCATGTAAGTTGATCTAACCCACTATGTTTTTTTATCATGCTATACAGAGATGCCCCTCCACTAGAGCTTGGTCTTCTTGAGATCAGTGAAGATGATCTGACCCCACAGCAAAGGCAGATGTTACGTGAAAGAGCAGCAGAAACAGGAGGCAACATAACTGCTGAAATAGCTCTAGAAATTGCAGCTGCTGACAAGTTAGAACCTGCCAAGGTCCAGATTGGAGTTGTTGGTGATGCAGGGGCAGGGAAGAGCACCTTTATCAACTCGTTCCGCAGGCTGTCACCGGGGGATGTGGGGGCTGCTGAAGTGTCTGCAATTGGACACACCACAATTCAGCCAACACCTTATGATGTCCCTGAGAAAGACCTTGTTCTTGTTGACTTCCCTGGTGTGTTATTCAAGCCCAAAATGGATGCCATCCCTCATAAGCCTCAACAGGTTGACTTCAACATAAACAGTTATCTTGATCTCTTTGGAAAGAACATGCAGGAGTGTGACTTCTTCCTCATTTTTGTAACTAATCGCCCGAGCAACAACGTGGTCTGGATTGCCAAAGAAGTGCGCAAGATGGGGAAACGGCTACTGTTTGTCAGATCACAGGCAGATGTCGACATTGAAAAGGCAAGGCGGGACAGCCCCAAAGACTTTCCAAAGAGTATTGACAGAAAAATTTCGGAGAAACGAATGATGGAAAGGTTCAGACAGTCAACAAAGGAAACCTTGGAAGATATTGGGTATGGAAAAGTGGATGATGGTGATATTTTCATCATTAGCGGACTGAAAGATCATGTACACCGTGGTCTTTATGACATGAAGGGACTCAACTCAGCAATGCTCAACTGCCTTCCAACCTGCAAGCAAGAGGTTCTGATAAGGAACATCCAAGACTTTTCTGCAGATACAGTGACACAGAAAGCAGTGGTGATGAGGAAAAGAACATGGGCATTAGCAGCATGGGCAGCAGCAGTCAGTGCAGCACCTGTTCCTGCCCTAGGTGTGGCATTAGACATTGGTAAGTGTCTGTATACAGGGCTTGAGGAAGTCATATTTTCTGCAAATCATCTGAATTTGAATTGGTCACCTGGCACAAATATCACAATAGACGTAAAAAAAAACAAGAAGCCATAGGCGACAATTCTCCGCGAAGTATTATATATTGCAACAAAAAGAAGTAGCCATTGGCAATTCTCTGTGAAGTGTGATAAATCGAACAAAGAAAAATTGTTTAAACGCACGTCGGCTCAGTCATCTTAAGACGCAACAACCAATCAGAGATGCGAAATGCCGACACGTGACGCGGGATTTTCATACAGTCTAAACAACGCGGAAGGGCGCGCGATGCCCGAAATATTGTTGCGTCAATATTCAGTGCCGTGTTTCAAGAGATTAATACCGGGAAACAATTTCTTTTCTTGTTTTGAACGCATAAACATGCATTTACGCTAATCTAGTATGATTCAGGGTTACTTTTTTTTTACCTACCATGGCCAGATTATCTAAAAATGTGTGTATTGTGTGTACAATCTACAGAAAGAGAAATGTACATCAGGTCCGATCATCCGATTTTCATGTTTCGGTTTTTTGGACTCGGTTCATGAACGTATTTTGGTTTGGCTCCTGGAATGTGCGAAAAAAATGACTCCCGGGACTGTCTACAGGGAACACTCGCATATTGCCAACATTCGCGGTGTATCAGGACAGCGCGACTGGTCGGCATTAGCGCAGTCCCTGTAATTAGTAACAGTTGCACATCAATCCGGCCGAAAGCATGATTGTGTAACACAGGCTACTTCTTCATATACCGGCTCATACTACAAGACGCCTTTACAACTAGCAAATCATAAAATTACCCGATCTACTAGTATGTGCGGTTTACCAGCCCCAGACCACATCCGACCACGAGGCCGAGAACACATTGATGGGTTGCTCAAAAATATTGTCCATTTTTTCAAAGAGCTGCTCCACTAGGGCTGCGTACCTAAACGTAACATCAGGTACAGGTACAGGTACTGGTACAGAGGTTTAGGTACAGGTCCGGACCTGTACCTGTACCTGAACAATTTGACAAATTAACACGTGTTCTTCACTTTTTCAATCATGACACAGAAACAATAATAAAGTGTTGGAGGGAAGGGAAAATGACTGACCTCTGACCTGATTTGAGTTTGTTGACCAATCACAACCCTGGATCAGCCACACTCTCGCGATGTCTCGTGAGACTGAGGATCTCAAATCAATCGACGGTGTTTACATCTTTTCCAGTGCTAATTTTTCGTCTTTGTGGTAGGATTTACCTATCTTTAGTCATATACATGGTGTAAACTAGCTATTTCGGTATTTACTCGTTACTTCATGATCCGGTATTTTGGACCTGTACCGAAACGATTTTTACGGTATTGGACCGGTACAGTGTACCGGTCCGCAGCCCTATGCTCCACTATTATATTTAAACACTATGGAGTCATGGAGCGGCCCAACCCAAAAATATTGGCCATTTCGTGTACAGTGGAGCGGCCAGCATGCTCGTTGCTAGGACGACCGGCCAGTTGCTACGTGACTAAATACACGCCGCCACTAGGTCGCCACAGCCGACCAGTTTGAAATCGATAGGATTACGTCATCGGTATTTACATTTCGTAATGTTGTCCTCTGACCACCCCACATTTCCGTCCCCATTAGCCTGACCGCCACTTACAACTACCGGTCACATAAACGGCCGGACGAAAACATTTAAACGACATGGGGATGTTTCGAAAATAACCATTTACTCCAATATCAAAACAGCTACGGTAAAAATAAAAAGACGTGCATCATCCCGGACATAATACAACACCACATGCGAAATTACACAGAAATGCGACATACGGAAGAATGCGTTTTGGCTGCGAACATCTTCCAAAAAACTTGGCATCTCTTAACCATGGGCAAAAACATCTGGAACCACTTATAAAAACCACCCCGTATCTGCATGAACTTTTACCCCCCCCACTGCTATTCCAAACAACGCGTTTTTCTGGACCATTCCAATTCGCCTCGTAATTGTAGGGGTGCGTCTGCGATATTACATTGACCGCGAAAGCAGCAACGGCAAAAATACACATTCGTGCATCAACACGGGCATGCCCGCAGACGGCGTGTAAAATTGCGTGCCGATTACACAAAGAGAACCCAGTGTTTTGACTGCGAACATGAAAAATCAGCCGATTACAACACTCCGTCCGGAGGTCCTGACCTCCTTCACGGAGTAACAACACACTCTAACACACACATCTCAACAGCTAACTAGTATGAACATAGTCTTATTTTCACAGTTAAATCTTGCATAACTACAGACAGACATACACACAAACGCCATTGAAAACATACATAACCTTCTTGGCAAAGGTAAAAAGTAGCTACCAGGGAAGTCTAACATCTTCTTGTAAATGGCATGTAATGTTATATATCCATTGCCCATAATTATGAGATTATAACGCCAATAACACTAAAATACACCAGTTCCAGACCTGAGAATAGTCAACTGTGATAAGTATTATTTGATGAACAAGTTGTTGGACCAAAAATACACTCTTCTGATGTTGGGTAAGATTTCAGAATCTTAGAAATCAGCCTTTCAGTTCTTAATTTTGGCCGCCAGTAGACACAATTAAATTGCCATGAACTCGCACAGTGAGCATGGCAGCAGCTTCAGAACCTGATACAGTGCCTGGCTCATTTTGAGAAGCAAACAAAACTTTAGAACTGTATGTAGTCACAATAATTATGCAAATTTGTTTGCTTTGCAAAAGAATCTCATTTACGAGCAGTTTCATGTTTGACCATTTTCAGGAAATTGTATTTTCAGCGTTATTGGTGTCATATGGTGTTTAGGATGCACAGTCCAGTATTTATCTGCAATAATGTACAATATGATCATGATATATGGTCAATATTGGTTGATTTGGATTTTTTTCCACTTACAGCGGCACTGTTTGTAGCATACAAGGCACTGCGCAGAGCTTTTAACATTGATGATGCATCTCTTGAGCAGTTGGCCAACATTTGTAACAAATCAGCTTTCACCTTGATGAGGTTTCGCAACCAGAATTCGACACTGTGGAATGCTATCAAGAACAGCAGTGGTCCTGTGGCACTACGAAATCTTGCTGCTGCTGCTGCATCTTCTGTCACAATTGCTAGCCTATTAGTAACAAGTGTTACTGCAAAGATAGCACTTCCAATCATCGGTGGCATCATTGCTGCTCCGGCTTCCTTTGCTCTGATAGTGCTCCTCGTACGAAAGTTCATCGAGGAGATGGAGATGTGTGCAACCAAGCTGTTCAAGTTCGCTTTCAGCGAGGATGTTGGGTATGATATCTGTCTTGTATACTAAGTCTTGTAGTTCTAGTACTCTTAAAAGAAAGCCAACTAAGCATTTTATTGAACACAGAAATCATTTAGGTGTTGCTTGTTTATTTATGCCTATGTATGTCTAGTATGCTTATTAATGATGATGATATCGAGTTACTTCCTTTTCATATGATTAAGGTACTAGTACTAAATCTACAGGCATGTGGATTATAGATATCTTGCTCAATTTAGCATCTGCTGACTGATAATCACTTCAGAACAGATGGTAAAACACTATGACCATAGAATATACATCAGTTATCTGTACTTAGCTTTTGCAGTTAAGGCCACAGCATGTAAATTCTATAGGGCGGGGAAAAAAAACAAGAAGGCTCTTTCAAATTTTGAGGTCATAACCCTGGTTAAACAAGAACTGAGGTGACAAAACATATAATATCACAACCAAACAGATCTTTTTTTCTTGTACTCAAAAGTGTTACCTGTCCTCGTAGATGTGTAAAGACCTCAATTAAATTCTAGCAAACGGGTAGCCATACCATCATGGGCAGCTACTATATTGGGTTGGATTGGATACGATGAAACATGTCAGTGTACAGAATTTGCAATCAGACACATTGACCATCGTGTCTCAAGTTTGCTGGATCCCTGATGGTCCTATAGGCATTTACAACACATTTGCCCATTTTCGGCATGTTAACCACTGGGTCAGGTCAGAGGGCAAAACAATTTCTTGTTTTTTTTTTCAAAATGAGCCAAAAATGAATGTGCACACAGATGTCATCCATAAACATTACTTGCTGTGGCCTTAGAATGCTTCAAATGATTTCCAATCTTGATAGGCCTGCCGACATTGGCATTGTAGGAGATGGAAATGCTGGAGAGACATCCTTCATCAAGTACTTCGGCAGCTTGCTTCAAGAGGAGGAGGGAGATCAAAGTAAACCCATCACAAAAACCAGATTTCACACAACATTAGACAATGTTGTACTTGTGGAACTCCCTCCTCCTCATGTGAAAAAGAAGCTGTTTCGAAGAACCTTCGATGAAGAGGCATACATGAAGAGCTTTGCTGATGACATGAGAGCATGCAGTGTGCTCTTGGTGTTCATTGGAAAACCCATCAGCGAAGGACTGCTCACAATTGCAAGAAAGGCTAAAGAGATGGAGCTGGACGTTCTGTTCATAAGGTAAATATTACTCACTTTATGACACACTTTATAAAGATACCAATTGAAAATTTATTTTCGTACATTGGTCTGCAGATTTACAGTCAAACCAATGCATTGCTATGGAAAAAGCAAAACATGTAAATTTTCAAGTAATGCAGGTTACTTTTATTCACCTATTACATTGTATTTTTCTCACAGGACATGTCTGGATGAAGACGAACTCATGTATATTGACAGCATTCGAAAGGTAGGACATACCACCATCATGGAATCCTAAATATATAATCACTTGTTTGTCAAAAAAATCCAATTAAAGTCATGACATAGAGCAAGAATTCTTGATTCAACCACATGAATTCTGTGCTTGCAGGAAGCCCATAAAGACCTCAAAGCCAACATTGATGACATCGCCATAACTGACATCTTTGTGGTCGATGTCCAATACGACAGTATAGTTGAAGACAAATGGGACATCAGCTTTCTCAGGACAGCAATCCTCCATGCCATTGACAAGATTGACATGACTGACAGGTACAGAATATATACTAATGATTAGACTATCCCTAGGCTAGATAATCTCCTATATATACCATGTCATCTTGGTCCATCTCTTTGTATCCAAAAGCCACCATGATAATCATATTACAGAATTTGTGTCACGTAAGTAGTACTTGCAATTGTATGTCTTTATATGACTACCGTATACGGTATACATTAAATACGTGATGGCAGCAATACTGACTTTTAGATGTAACATCTATGTCCTACCAATTTGTTGAGCTTATTGAAATTGTTCTTGTTTTAACTATCTTACTTCAAAGTAATATCTCATGATTGTAATATGCAGTCAAACTTAAGTTAACTTAACTTAAAGACGACCACCCAGGGGTTGGAGGAAACATTGTCGTCTTAGACAAGTGGTCTTCTTATACAAACACCATGGTGACATGGCAAAACTGTGTAAGAGTGAACTGCAAACAAGATTTCTTCCTTTTTTACAATACCTCCCAGCTCGTGCCATTTTACATTGTGCAAAGACTGTCATGCTGTCAAAATCAATGGCAAACTAGCCATCAATATTGGCGTTAGTTTTCATCAAATCTGCCACATACTTGAAAATCACACCGCTGTCATAGGCAAAGGTTGGGCCATGTGCAGCTCCAAATAGTGCCAGTCACGGTCGCATTTGCATGGTTGGCTTAGGCAAGTTGGTAATATGGAGGGAAAACCAGAACCAAGAAAAAATGTTGTTACAATGTATGGCTGGATGGCTGGCTTATAGAGGTGGTTGCTGGAACAAGTTTCATTGTCTTGGTACATTTGACATCTGAGAAATTTTCTTTCAGAAACTTGATGCTTTTGGAAAAGCAGGAAGATATGCCTATAATTGCACTGAAGGAGGGTAAGAGCGGCAGACCAAGTGATGACATACTGAGGGCACTCAATGGATGCACAGGGACCATCAAACCAACCTTACCAGACTGGAAGACAGCAGTCATCTCTATTCAACTCGGTAATTCACATTCAAATTAGTCAAGAGGCAATGTGCATAATTATGTTTGTTGTGACATTACACATATAACCTAGTCCAATCATAGTACAACAGGGTCACTCAAGGCTCATTCCATGCACAAGCGTAATGAGTAATCAAAGGCAATATCAAAGCTTTTAAGTCACACCTTACAATGTCTGATTGCAACTGTTATAAATTTGTATTTTGTTACTGTTTATACTGTAACAGCAACTGTACAGTTACAATCATTGCTTCTTTATTTCTTGACTCTACATACTATCAAGGACATCACTTAGGATTGTAGAATTTCTGTCTGTGATTCAGCAGTTATGTAATTTACAAACCTATCAGAGTACGGAAAAAAACAGGTGGTAGCTGCTGACAGGATATGATGACACATAGTTGCTAACAGATATGATGACACTTTAAACTTACAGGGGTGATTGGTGATGCAGAGGAAGATGCTGACATCACAACATTCAGCCAATCCCTTCTTGGACTTGACAACCTGAGGAGACCAGCACAGGCTAGTGACCCTGCCCAAGCAACAGTGTACCGCAACCCAGGCCACCCATGCAACATCTCTGTGGTCCACTTTCCACCTGCCTCACTTTCTCCTGGTAACACCTGTCTGATATCAGTAACACATGAGTAAAGAGACTCTTTTTACACAACCAAGTCTTTTATTCAGCAGACATTTCAGTGACCGTCTGTCACCTTCCTCGAGGCAATTTTGACTGGTTCACAATCACAGTTTGTGTGTACATTTGGGAATGCATCTATAGCAGCGACACCTGTGCTGCAGTGCAATGTGAACCAGTCAGAACTGCCCTGAGGAAGGTGACAGACGGTCACTGAAACGTTGACTGAATAAAAGACTTGGTTGTGTAAAAAGTGTCTCTTTACTCAGTGTCTCACCAACCTGATGAAACTATTCACGGATCAGTTACAACACTTTTCTTTTATTTCTTTCCTGCTTAGTATGTAATGTGATAAACTTCCAGTCAGAATGTCATCATAACATAAGCACATGGAAAACCAGTAAAAAAAATGTGAAGTGTGATTATGTAAGGGTCAGCTCAATTATTTGTAGATCTATTTCAGAGATGTGATGCATAACTTTAACCTACATGTATAACAGTTCTTTTAACAGGACCCAGACTGGTACATGCATACTTTACTCTTTGTCTGCAGGACAAAGCGGAGCCCTGTATGTTTCCCGGTATATGGAATTCCATGGAGACAAGATGAAGGACTGTGACCTGTTTTTGGTCTTCTGCCAAGACAAAGTGACTGAGGAGGCAGCTTGGGTGGCCAGCAAGGCTATGGAGATGAGTAAGAAGGTATGAAGCTGACATTACTAGTCTTTGACTTAGGTCCTAAGCCTGTATTCCCAACTTGTACATTGTGCATATACTCTAGTAAGAATTCTACCATGAATAACTGATTACAGATAAATGAAGATTTTAACATGACATACCGATATGCTTATTGTATGATTAAGGTAACAGAGTCAATAAAATATCCAAGTATAATTTGCAATAGCAGTGCTTGTGCTTGAATGTTATCTGATGCTTTCTTGGCATTTGTAGGTGCTTCTTGTTGGATCAAAACATGACCATACAGCTGCTCTAGGGGCTGCTGCTGCTCTTCCAGCTGAGGACACAGAGAACAGGGAACTCTGCCACAAGCTAACAAAGCAGCTTCAGGTTTGAAATGACTTATCTCTCTAATATCATTGGCAACATGTCACATGTAAAAATCTTATTTTCCCATATTATTTTAACATTCTGTGCTAACTTGTATTACCGGTAACAATATTCACTGAACAAAAAATGCAACTGATATGACTGCTACATATGTACATGTATTCCCTGTAACAGGTCCTAAGGTTTTCACTATAATAATTCTTTTGTCAGTTTTGTAACTTGTGTTGTAACAAGGTTAAAATTTTTAACCTCCTTGGTTGTAACAAGTCCATTTCAGTGTTAGGTAGTAATGTTAAAACATCTTTTCTCTTTCTTGCAGCAACATCTGCACAATGCAGGCAGCACTGAGGTGATGGGTACAAACAGCACCTTCATCATCAGTGATGAAGCTGATGATATGCTGATGGGTAAGCTTGACATGGTCCGACTGAAGACAGCCATCCTGTCTCGGCTCAATGACTTACAGCGACAGGTACTATGTTTTAACATAGTAAAAGACTTTCCATACAGTAGGTAATGTCTATTCTTGCATAATGTATTATTACCGGTATACTGGTACAGCTACTTTACACATACATTTGTAGCAAATGTTCCAACACAAGGGGTTGTTCTCACTTTAATATATTTCGACCAGTCACTCTGGTCTTCTTCAATAGACTGACCCAGTGAGACTTGTCACATGGCTTCTCTTAAGTGTTACATGAACACTGGGTCAATTGCAGTATGTTTTATCAACACACACCTCCTGTTGCAACTGTAAGTTCATACATTTTCACCTGCAGGCATTTGTGATCTGCTGCCCAGACTTGTCCCCTGACTTTGTGAGTAAAAAGGCAGGTGTTCTGAAGAAGCTGGCATGGGTCCAGGCTGTAGATGCCATGGATGTCAACCAGGGACCTGGTCTGTTGGTCGAAACACCAGTCAAGATAGGTATGTGATCTCCCTTATAATACTTTTAATAGCAAATCTTAATGCTATGCCTATGCAAATCATAGTGACTGCAAGTGTTGAGGCTAGGAATTTGACATGTACATTTAGTTAATGTTCCAAAGACAATAGGCTTACTACCAGTAAGTAAGTCTGACCTAATTATGTGAACATGAAACAGGGATGTACAAATGTAGTCATACTTCACACAGGTTAATCAGTGATGGTCCACTTTCTTTTCCAGAAATAGTCCGTGAAGCCTGCGAGCTGTCCCAAAAGTGTTTTGGGCTGGATGAAGCGTCTCTCACCAAGATAGCAGCAGTATCTGGTACAGACGTACAAGAACTGAAGATCTTTGCACAAAGAAATCTTCCCATGTGCACAAAGCTGTTGTCAGAAGACACAGACCCCACCCCTCCTGACAACATCCGTACCTTAGCAAGTCTGCTGTCAGAAAACAGCAGCACCCTCCTGACCCTGGGGCTGGCAAATTGGGCCTTCTCAACCACAGTTTCTATCACAGGGTTTGGTGGAAAAGCACTGAATGTTGTTGCTTACTTTCTGTGTAAGATGATTGATGAACAAGCAGAGTGTGCAAAGGAACTACACAACTTTGCCTTTCACAAATGAAGACCTGGGGGGTTTTGAATGCATGTGCTATATATAATGTTCATACTTGAATTCTACATGCTCCAAAGCACATACATGCATGACTTTGTATGCCCCCTTCAATGTGTAAGGCAAAGCTACCAGTACGAGAACTCCTTGATTGTGTACTGGTCTGTCGTACCATACCATGTATTCATCTTGTTGAGTTATGCAGTAACCAAGAAAAATTCAGATAAATTTTCAAGCACCCAGATCATCAGAGGTTTATAAGAACTAACTGTCAGAGCTTTGTAGAGAAGGCTACACATGTATGTCTTCATCTTCTTTGTGCTACAGTGAATATAATGGGATAACCCATTTCACTATAATTAGATTTACCAAATACATGTACACAGAATGTTTGAAGTGTTGTAGTTTTAGTTAAACATATAGACAAGAGAGAAAACAGAGAAAACATTGCAGAGAAAAATTGTCTAAGAACATTTTGCAGCTGTATTTTGCAGCATGCCTTTCTGTAAAATACTAAGTAAAAAATTAAATCAGATTATTTAAGAATAAAATTGCACGAAGTAAATGTAAGACAAATAGGAGAAGGTATCACCATGATCACAATAAAAACAACAATTATGCACGGAATGCTGAACATACAATGTACGAAGTTGATAATCAATGTTTATGCACTAATTGAGAGCTTGGTATTAATTACATTTGTAATTTAAATAAATAGATTTCAGACATATACAATACACTTATTTGATGAAAGTGGAAAATGTTACTCTTTTCAGTCTAGATATATATGTATGGTTTGCTGTTGTTAAGTTTATCAGTCATGCAGGTGACCAATGACATTCTATCAGTTATCGCCTATGTTAATAGATGGATCAAAGTTGTGAGCCAGGATCCTCACCTATAGAAATTTAAAACTTACAGTAAAACAATATAAGTATACAGTATGATTTAAATTAAGTACAAGTTATCTTCTACATTTCTGAAAGGTCATTGAACACAAGGTTAATTACTGTTAAATGATCATTGTTTCTAACTGTATCTCAAGAGATTGGCTATTGCATTCTACATGTACATGTAGATTTTGCTGTACATTATACAATGTATTATACAATTTTCACAATGTAACCCAATCTACATTCCAAAATGTATCTTTGGTGACAATTAGCTACATACAGTCAAACCTGCCCAGGCAACCAACTCTTCAACCTGGCCATCATGACCGCTTTTTCTCAGTCCCAAAAAATTTTCCCCATTGACGCAAGCATTAAGCCACCTGCCCAGGGTGGCTACCTAGCCACCACGACCGCTACAAGTTGGGTCTGCCCATCCCTACCCATAGCACTGGTCGACGTGGTCATAAATTTTTCAATCAGTGGTGACATCCATTCTCAAACTGACCAATTTGTCTTGCTTCATTTGCCAGAAACTGTGAAGTTTAGACCCTGGGAATCTAAAGATACCTGCAGTGTTTGAAACACCTTGAATCGAAGACAACTCTCAGTCATGTTGTGAGTGAGGAGAATCGACCATCTTCAAGGAGACCACCTGTCCAACCCGACCGTTTTCCCCAGTCCCCTGGGTGGCCGGCTTGAGTAGGTTTGACTGTAAATGTATGTGGAGAGAAGAAGAAATGGTAACCATAGACTGGTTAAGGTCAAATTGGAGGTCAAAATGGTCTCCCTGCAGGCTGGAAGGAAGTGAATGGTATGGGTAGTGAATTCAAGGAACTTATGAATCAAAGATTGCTTGACAAAGCTGATGAAAAATTAAATAAAAAATCACTAGATAACAGCTTAAAGTTTAAATACGTTTGATTTTTTGTTTTGTTTGTGTCTTACTAGTGTTAGTCTCAATACGCATTGATCGTTAGCCCTTCCTCGATGTATATTACTTAAAGAAAGGTAATATTGACCCCACAAATTTTTTCAAGCTGGGATCTGCCATAATCCCAGAGCCTGGCAATAGCTGATTCACAACAGTTGAAGCTGAGGCCACGCCATCTTAATTTGTTGGTTCTCAGATTTTTTCAGAAAAAATATGAAGCAACAGGGCAGAAAGAAAGAAAATATAAAAACAAGTCTAGGAATCCTATCTATTATACCTGTTCGCGGGTTTTTCTGGACAAGGTCGAGTGGCAACTGAACCGCTCAGTTTTCCTGTCATTGAACAATTGGACAGGCAATGCATTGACAGTAGATCTGTTTGCGTCTCGTCTGAATGCTCAGCTGAAGGAGTATGTCTCTTGGCACCCAGAACCAGAGGCCATGGCAGTGGATGCTCTAAACATTCACTGGGGCAACCTGGGGCTAGCGTATGCCTTTCCCCCCTTCAGCCTAGTGTTCAAGGTACTGAGAAAAGTCCAGTCAGACGTAGCAACAGTGATTTTGATAGCTCCAGTTTGGAAGTCTCAGGCTTGGTACCCCAAGGTGTTGAACATGTTGTTCGAGAGTCCGGTTCTCCTGCCACAGAGCTGGGATCTGCTGTTCCTGCCACACAACAGGAGACCCCATCCGCTGTTGCCAGATCTGATGCTTGCCGCGTGGCCAATATCAGGCGACAGTTGCAGGGTCTGGGCCTTTCGGCAGGGGCTTCAGACCTCATCCTCTCGGCTTGGAGAGAAAGTACTTCTAGACAGTATCAGTCAGCATGGGCTCAGTGGGCCAGCTGGTGTGATAGAAGGGAGATTGATCCAGTTTGCGGCTCTATAGAGAGCGTAGTAGAATATCTGGAATGGATGTTTCGACAGAACTACAGCTATATGTCAATTGGGGTGGCTCGTTCTGCGATCTCGTCTGTTCACTTACCAGTAGACCATTGTAATGTGGGTAGTCACCCTCTAGTGTCCAAACTGATGAGAGGTGTGTTTCACAAACGTCCTCCTTGTCCAAGATATGTTTCAACATGGGACGTCAGTCGGGTCCTAGAGTACCTTCTGCATTGTTGCCCAGCTAATAGTCTTAGTTTGAAACAATTGTCTCATAAGTTGGTAACACTAGCGGCATTGGTATCAGCCGACAGAGGTCAAACTTTAGCGGCTCTCGACTTGAGATTCATGAAGAAATGTAGAAACGGTGTTTCTTGGACAATTCCTACCCTGCTAAAAACTTCTAGACCAGGAAAACCTGCCAGAAAGTGTTTTTGGGCGGCCTTCCCGCAGGACAGGCGCTTGTGTGCCTTCACATACCTGAAGGAATATCTAAGGCGGACTTCTTCCCTTCGGAAAGAAAGGGGGGGGGAGCAGAAGTTGTTCATATCATACAGGAGACCACACAGGCCGGTTGGTTCTGCGACCCTGGCCAGGTGGGTTAAGTCAGTGTTAGGCACGGCAGGTGTCGACACAGCAACTTTCTCAGCTCACTCCACTCGAGGAGCGTCCACTTCAGCTGCTGCAGCTGCCGGGGTGTCTCTACATAGCATCATGAAGGCAGCGGACTGGTCACGAGAGTCTACCTTCCTGAAGTACTACAGGAGGGACAACAACCAACACACGTTTGGCCAGGCTGTGCTGTCCACGGCTCTGAAGTCTGCATAAGGTAAACGATATACCCAAATAGGGAGTGTGCAGGTATAATTGAGGATTAGGCAAATTGTACTTACCATGAAGGATAATCCCAATTATACCTCACACGAACTATTTGGGTATATCTTCCCACCCTTGCTGTTCTTCAGCTTCCAAGTAGCTGAGAATGCCCACCCATGGTGAACAGCACAGACTCTTTCTCGCACGTCGTCAAATGGCGGCGAACATAGTCATTACGTCATGATATCCCGTGATGCTTTGCGATTAAAGCTTTGTACACGTGCGCCACCTAGCGATAAGCATAGGAAATACTGCATAAGGTAAACGATATACCCAAATAGTTCGTGTGAGGTATAATTGGGATTATCCTTCATGGTAAGTACAATTTGCCTAATCCTCAATTATAGCCCAAAATGCTTCAATAGGACCCATGTCAATACAAAAGGCTGGGTTAAAATTTAAACATATTTGAACTTTTAATCAAACCACTGCATTGACAAATGGAAAAAATGTAAAAACTACATGTAGGAAGAAAAGGACTTTCCTCAACTACTGGGGGCAAAATATGAGCCTTTTTTTCATTGATTCAGAATTTTTTTTTTGCCAATCAGAAAAAAATTAAGAGGTGAATCGCCATACTCAAGTGGCTGTCAACATACTAGATCACTTATGAATTCACAAACATCCAGTTAGAAGCTATTACCTACATGTATGGTCACAATCATGTATGTACATTGTACTATGGTCTGGAATCTGTATGAATCAGCCAAAATAAATTGTCCAAAGGTACCTAGTACAAAGTACACATTCAAATGATTTCGCAAGCGAAAAGTTGAAAATCAATACTAGACAAATTGAATAGTAATGGTTCCAGGGACTGCAAATAATGTGAAGAAGGGGTGATTTAAACAAAGGTAAACAAAACAGTAAAGAAAAGGCATGGAAATGGTTAGCAATTTGCCCAACCTGCCCCTGACCTCATAGAATGGAATGGTCATTCCGGCCTCCTGTTTACTTGATGATGCTTATCCTTTTTGATCATATGATTGTCACACAAGTTCAGAGTATTTCACAGCTGGAGCCAGGTGTGGTGAGGTAAGGAGCGTATTCTCTATGATTACATTTTTTTCTTTTATCGGCCAGTCTGAATTTCTAAATAAATAATTCTCAATTGTCGATCAACTGCAAATAGTGATCATTGCATTTTTGTTGGGTTTGTGAGTTCTTGTGTTGCTGAAGGAAGGATCAAGGAAGACCAGAGTTTTCTACATAAGTGCACTCAACCAACAAGACGACGGCATTTGGCAGGCTGCTACACTATCAAGCCTTGAGCTACATGCAAGCATGTCGAACTCCCACAAGACTGGGGTCAGTAGAGGAAAAAGGAAATGGTGAGTGAGTGAATTGTTCTTCCTTACCTTGATGAATGAGAATGAATTCTGCTATTGTCAGACAATTCAATTTCCAACATACAAATAATATGCTCACTTGGCAATGGCAAAGACACTGCGTGAGGAGGGATATTTGATTTTTGAAGGTAGACAATTGGTTAAATTTGTAACTTTCTTGCTTTCTTCATTGAAGACAACTTTTGAGAGCTTTGAAGACCACAATTCAATTTGAAGATGGATGAGCAACTGAGTGCTCCAGATAACGACAACCCATTTAAGGACAGAAAAGACTCCATCACATCCGATTCATCAGAGTTGTAAGTCTTTCATGACAGCTGAGCAAGGAAAAGGCTGTCACTGAATCTTTTCTATCTTAAGTTTTTTTCTTATCCATTTATACTTAAAGCGATGTTATCATGTAAGATTTTTGCACCAAAACTGTTAATATAAATACTGGTAATTGAGATTTTCTCATCCAGATTGACATTTTAAATAACTTTCAACATATTAGCGTCACTATTTCACTTTTCCGGCATCTCAGCGCAGCGCGAGAATAAGTTGCCCCAGGCCCACTGTATTTTTAAGAGGCTCCTAAAACAATGTAAACAAACCGAGGTTTTCATTCCGGTATATATTCGGCAGCTTCAACACATTTTAGCAATGCAGCGACATTGATCTTTTACTCCCCAAATGTCATAACATGAACCCAGGTAGGCTTAAAGAAAATGTGTAAAACAATGTTTAAAATAGTGAAAATCTTACATAAGGCCACATCACAATTTAATTTCTTGGTTAACGGATTCGCCGCTTCATTTTTTTCTGATTTGCAAATAAAAATAAAACTTTGGAATCAACTGCAAAATGCTCATATTTTGCCCTGAACAGTTGAAAACAGTCCTTTACATCCTAGTTGTTAAAGTTATTCCATCTTTCAATGCAGTGGTATCATTAAAAGTTCAAAATTCATTGTTTAAATTTTGAATCAGGCTGGTGTGCTGACTTCATGGCTCCTTTCGTACCATTTTGGGCCATAATACGATGCCTAGGCATGTTTTTATTTTTAATTTTTTTTCGCCCGCCCGCTCCATTATTTTTCTAGAAAAATCCGTTAACCAGGAAATTAAATTGGTGTGGCCTAATATCGCTTTAAGCCTGTGTAGCTGACCTCGACCGATTTTTTACTTTTCAAGCAAATGCCCTAAGCAGTTCCAGAACAAGCTGCTAGGGAGCCCAAACTCATATCACTTATTCCCATCAGCACAAGAATGATCTCAACCATGCAAAATTCATGACCCTGGCATGTCCTGATCACAATATTTGAAAGAGGACATGCTACTGCAGTACCATAACAAGCTGCCAGGGGGCCCAAAATGTAATCATTTTGAGGTCTCATCAGTACATATACGAAATATCAAGAGAATTCATTTGCATCTAGGCATTCTAAAGTTATCATGTTCCCACTCTGACACATTCTCCCCAAAACATATTCAATTCACAAATATCAAGCCCTGATGTCACACTGTGTACCAAACACAGGCTGAGTGTAAATTCTGGTCTCACATGTCAGGGAGTTTAATACATAATATTGCTATCAGGCCACACCAATTTAATTTGTTGTTTCTTGGATTTTTTCATAAAAAATCAGGAGCGACAGGGAAAAAAAACGACAACAAAAAAAAACAGGACAAGGCACCCCATGATAGCCGGAAATGTTACAATATGAGCCATGAAGTGAACATACCAGGCTGGTTTATAATTAAAACAATAGATTTTGAACAATGTTTCATTGTTACATTGAAAGAAAAGGACTTTTTGCAACCATTGGGGCCAAAATAGAGTAATTGAGTATTTTGCAGTTAATCTAGAACAAACAAATTTTTTTTTTTTTGCAAATCAGAAAAAAATGGACAGGGTGATCCGAGAAGCAACAAATTAAATTGGTGTGGCCTCAAGTTCACTAGAAAGTACTGATAAATAAGTCATCAAAAGAGCTCACAGTGGGATCTCACAATATAAACATTTGACATACTTTTAAATATTTTACTCAGGGATGCATGTTTCCAAAATGCCCAGCTCATTATCACTGACGAACACATGTCCCAAGCAGAAAGAGATGAGCTGAAAGCGTGTGCTGATGGTTCTGCCACTTTTGAAGAAATGGCACCTAGACTGCATTCAAAACTTCAAGTTGCAAAAGAAGCGAGTGTTAACATTGGCATCGTTGGTGATGCAGGGGCAGGGAAAAGTACTTTTATCAACTCCTTTCGTGGTTTAAGACCCGATGAAGAGGGCGCCGCCAAAGTCTCAGCCGTCCGCCACACTACCAATGAAGTCACGCGGTATCCTGTACCGGACAACCAAAACATCGTCCTTGTTGACTTTCCTGGAGTCATCTTCCGAAGCACAGACCAGGGTGTGGTAGAAGAGTTTGACACAAAAAGCTACCTCGACCTCTATGGCTCAGAAATGGAAAAATGCGACCTTTTCCTCATATTTGTTACATTACGAATGAGCAACAACATCATCTGGATTGCAAAAGAAGCCAGAAAAATGGAAAAGAATGTCTTTTTTGTCCGGTCAAAATTTGACATTGACTTAGCAAATGAAAGCAGAGATCACCCCAGTCGCTTTCCCAAAGGCACCTCCCACATAATGGAGGAAACACAGGCTTTTCTTCAGAAAGTGCGCCAAGCTACCGCACAGGAGCTAAGCAGGCATGGGTATGGTGAGGTCAAAGAGACAAAGGTATTTGTCATCTCTGGGTTACTGGCGGATGTACATGCCGGTACATACGACAGGTCCAATCTCCGGATAACTATCTGCAACACAGTCTCTCCAGCCAAAAAAGCAGTTCTCCTCACAAGCTTGCCAGACTTTGCAATTGACACAGTACATGACAGAGCAGAGTTTCTCAGATCACGGGAAGTTATTGGAGCAATCGCTTTGAATACAATCATCAGTCTTGCCCCTGTGCCAGGACTTCCGGTAGCCTTGGATATTGGTAAAGTCCTTTTAATTACAATCATTTCAACATGTTACATGTACATGTACTTGATACAGCTGCTTATTACTGTGATAGATAAGTAAGGCCACACTGACTTAATTTTATGGATGACATCCGCGCGCGCATTGATTTTCGCCTGTCGCCCTCAAAAAAAAAAAAAAAAGATCACGTCCACCGAGGCTCTGGCCTGGCTCTAGGCCTGGGTAGTCCATGGTAGTCAGCGACAATACGGAGCCGAGCACCCAGGCTATCGAATTCAAAGCTCCGCGACTCAAGAACTCAGTACATAAGTACAGTACCGATTCATAAATGCCGCAAAAAGCCAGCATGTCGTATACGTTGCTAAGTACTGCCGCAAATTCACAATACCAGCTTTGTATTCCTGTGGTTTAGTAGCATTTTTATTTTTGGCCGGAATTTTTTTTTATTCGCCCACGCGCACTAGTTTGGGAGTCTTCAGAGGATGTCATCCATAAAATTAAATCGGCGTGGCCTAAGCAAATCACAGGCAAAAACATTTTGAGAATGTATACAGTAATTTTTGTCTTTCATCATGATGATCATTTGTACTTTATAGTCAACAATTCACATTAAACTACATGTATTGGATTTCGATAGAAAGCATAGGGGTAATGCCATTCATCAGAGACTGTCATGTTCTTCAGGAGTCCTTATAGCAGGCTACCATCGTGTCAAGGCAGCCTTGAGTCTCAACGACAAATCCCTCAAGCGACTAGCAGAGCTAGGAAAGAAGGACTACAACAGCCTGAGGTCGTTTGTTGACAGAAGACTTGTGTTGGGAGAAAGGATAAAGAATGCCTCGGGTCCCCATGCAATCCGAGGTATTGTGGCTGCTACAACATCTGGACTTACAATAGGTGCCCTCGCTGTCACAACTTTAGCACTTAACGTCTCCCTTCCAATTGTTGGTGCACTCATAGCAGCACCAGCCTCAGCTGCATATGTGTACTTCATCATGCGAGAGATGATCAACGAAATGGAGTCATGTGCAGTTGATCTCTTCAAGTATGCATATGGATTAGAACCAGGGTATGTAGTCCATTAGATGTACATGACTGAATGTATTTTTTTTGTATTGCTGTAAACTTTTCTTGTCTCAAGTCTTATTTGATTTTTCATGTCTTGTCTTGTATATCTAGCAAAATTAGTGTACATTTTTAACATTCTGACTTACTGACAATGTATACTTATTTACGATATCTACTAAAACAATGTACTAGTACTTATTAATGATAGACTTTCATCTTCCTTTTCATACCCACAGCCCAGCATACATTGGAGTTCTTGGGAAAGAATGCTCCAGCAGAACAAAATTCCTGAACGCCATCCGTGGGCTTCGTAATAATGATCCCGGCGCATCTGATGGAAAGGCCATCAAAAAGCCTACAGAACACACATCTTCTAACAACCTTGTGTTTGTGGAGTTTCCAAGCCCACAGGTTAAGAAGTCATTGTTTCAACGGAAAATCGACAAAGAGGCTTACAGGAAGAGCTTTGGAGACAAGTTGAAGCAATGTGAGGTTTGCCTGGCTTTCATTGAAGAACTTGAAGACATAACTGATGAAATGATCACTGTTGCCAAGATGGCAAGAGAGGAAAAGATCAAAGTGCTGTTTGTTTGGTAAGCTACTCTATATTTTCGTATCTATCTCACATTAAATTTGAATTGGGATTTTCCACTAAGTACATTCATTATATGTTTAATTTGTTTCACTTTAATTCATATTATGCACATGACAGCAAGGCAATTTCCAAATGCATACAATTTTTTTTCTTTTCCCTTAAAACAGGCCAAATAACAGCCATCTTTCAACAGACCAGAGTGACATGATCAGCAAGTGCCAGAGGAATCTGAAGAAACTGTATGGTGATATTGATGCATCTGACATCTTCATCATCAGTACTGAGTATGAGGCAATGACTGGCGATAGAGGACGAATGCCTGCCTTAAGACATGCCATCTTCAAAGAACTTCAAGATGCTGACAAGACAGATAGGTAAATTGTACACTATGCATGTACTAAGTAGTTGATTAAGTTATGTTGGTGTACAGTGTAATTTTGCTCCTGCAAAGTTGATCCACATTTCAAGTCATTGACATTGTATTTTTCTTCCTACAGGTCAATGATGCATTTCAGCTCAGAGTCAGACATTTTGCAGTTGGATGAACGTGATGCTGGGCCTATGTTGAACAGTCTGCCAGATGGCTTCTGGGATGAAGAGATGACAGACCTTACAAAGAGCAAAGATGACTGCGTATCAAAGTGGGAGCAGACAATGATTCGAATTGGTAAGCATCAGCCTAAAATTATAATTTTTTTTTTGTATCAACTTAGCCCTTGTCCTGCTGGCATTCCTGGCACAATATTTTTCAATAATTTCATGTCTTAATTAGATCATAGACCCCCAATTTTTTTTTGCCCTGCAGTGGCATAGTTACTTCCGCATTCGTTGCGTTTCGCTGCGGTGTGATGCTCTGCACGAGAAATACCCCCAAATTGTACCTATACAGGGACGGTGTTATATAGATGGTACTGTATGTGCCGCGTGACATATGTTGCGCACAGCAGGACAAGGGTTAGGCCACACTGATTGATTTTATGGATGACATCCGCATGCACATTTTCGCCTGTTCTAAAAAAAATACCTCCTCCCAGGCTCTGGCCTGGGTACCATCCTCCGTAGTCCATGGTAGCTAGCACCCAGGCTGCCAAACCTTCACAGAACTCAGTACAGTGCCAACTCATAAATGCCGCAAATGGCCAGCATGTGCCGGCTTGTGGTATTCAGTGTGGCCTACTATTTATGCCTTTATGTTATGTTATCTATGATAATATCATGGTCAATCCATGATTAAAGGAAAACTAATGAAAATTTCACAACTCATTTGTAGCAAAGGGATTTCAAAAGCTACACCTGCCTTGGAGTAAGAAAAAGTCAATGACACGACATTTGCCATTCTAGGTATCATCAGTGACCATGGAGCAGGAACTAACACGTTCATCAGTTCTCTCCTGGGTTACCGTGAGAAGGTGGCCTCCCGTACAGCAGCTGGGTCCACACAAACAGAGTACACCTCAGCTGACACACAACGCCCACAGAACCTCACTGTGGTCAGGTTCCCTGCAGTGTCATTTCAAATAGGTAATAGTCCTTGACAATCTGCTGAGTAATTGCTGAGTGAGTAATATTAAATTTTGGACTGATAGCTCATGTAATAAATTTACTAAGAAACTACGGTGTATCAGAAATAAAAGGATTTGACAGCTTGTAGTATGACAAGTCCCTTTATTTCTAATAGTTACAATGTACTGTATCATCTTCCTGTTTGTACTTGAATGACTGCTCAGTCACAGATGCATTCTATGCAGTCCATTGTTAAAAAAGAACAAACTAAAGATATGAGAATAAACTTCATTTCTATCATTTTTTTTGACATTGCAATACAAACAGGCATAAAAGAAGACATCAAGTCCAGGTACATGAAATGCCAAAAGGACAACATCAACCATTGTGACATCTTCCTAGTTCTGTGTGGAGAGGTCGTGGCAACAGAGACCATCTCGCTAACAGTGGAAGCAATGAAGAAGGATAAGAAGGTACATGTACTACATGCATCTACATGTATAAAGAATACTGATTTGCTGTCACATGTACCCATAGATAACTCCGCCTGATTGTAAAGCCTAAGCTAACTTTTGATTATTTCTTTTCTATATATAAGTTGTTAAGTTTTATTCTATACCAGTCCTATCTATTGTACTATGCTACTTATTGTTACCTATTTGCCATACATTGTACCCTGTACAATTGTCGTGCAATAAAGTTCTTCTATCTAATTATTGTAATTTATGTACATTAGCACAAATACATGATTGTATGCAAGTAAGAAAGGTGTCAGCACTGTCAATCCAGAGGGCTTTCAATCTTCCAATATCAACCAAAGAAAGGCACTTATAATATTTTTGTAATCTAAGCAGTTTTACTTTCGACATGTACAATGTATGTATATGGGCGATACATAGATGTACTTATATGTCTATCTGGAAAAATAAATGCTGGTTTGAAAAATCATTTACTTGTTTCAAATTCAAAAGCATGCTGTCCATTCCTTACTTTACAGGTGCTGTTTGTTAAGTCAAAGTTTGACACAGAGTGTGGCCCTAAGGCTAAACCTCAAGAAAGAGAAGCCATCATGAAGAGAGTAAAGCAGAGCCTGGCTGATGCCATTCAGGTAAGCTGGCAAGTAGTTATGGAATGACTGTTTGTGTACAAAATTATGGTACATATAAACATCAAATCCTGTTAAACTTTATTCTTGTAGGTTGTTATTTAATATGCACACTAACTCTTAATACTAGAGTTCAACGATCTCATACCTTCGCCAAGTGATGTTAATCTTTATGACTGACAAAGTAAAGATTATGCCTCCTGATTATGCAAATACGATCCTCATTTGCATGGATTATATCAGTTGATCATATTCTCCACCAAAAGACAGCCTTATCTTAATAAAGAAAGCCATTTTATCATTTCTTCATAAATTATGCAAATGAAGTCCTCATTTGAATAAGCTATGTTTAATGAAGTTCACCTTTACTTAACTTTCAAATACCCCAAGTATGAAATTACAGGCAGTTAACGTTATGGAATTGTAACATTTTCTCATTAATTATGCAAATTAAGTGTTAATTTACATAATCAATATCTGCCTGTGTTTCTCTTGTTCTCAATTACATATATCACAAGCTTAAATAGTCCTATAATGTAATGCAGCTGATTCATAGAATTTCCTCATAAATTATACAAATTACATCCAGATTTGCATAATTGTCACATAATTATGTCAAGCGTCACTTAAGCTACCCACATACCAAAAATCATGACGATCCGTCAACCGGTTCTTGAGTTATCCTCTTTTGAATATTTTTAAAGAAATGCCCCTGCAGTTTCAGCGCAAGCCGCTAGGGGGTCCAAACCTACGTCACTTCTTCCCCAGCACAAGAGCTACATACCACTTAAATTTCGTGACCCTAGCATGTCCAGATCATGAGATATCAAAACCGGAAGTTTCGCTGCAGTACCACAACAAGCCGCCAGGGGGCCCAAAATCTAATCACTTTGAGGTCTCATCAAGACCTACCTACCTACCAAGTATGAAGGCAATCCATTTAAGCCCTCTCGAGTTATCGTGGTCACAGACAGACAGACACATGAACGCCTCTGAAAACATAACCTTCTTGGCGAAGGTAATAATGCTACTTGAGGGGAACAAACCAAATAATCAACCATACTTATTCAACAGCCTTCCTGTTGCTCTTTTACAAAAATAATCTATCATTGTGCATTAAAACATAACATATACTTCAATATTCCACATTTTCAAGAACAAGCTTAGTGCTGAAGGCTGCACAACAACAGTGACCTTGAATGACCTCTTCCTCGTCAGTGGCAAGTGGGAAAATGTCATGCTAGAAGCATTTGACATGGTCAAACTGAGAGAGGCTATGATCAAAGAACTGAGTGCACTTCAGAAACAGGTTAGGAACCTACCACATTACAAAACTTCCAGTTCCACGATCTCATACCTTCGCCAAATGATGTTAGCCTTTATGAGTAAGAAATTATAGATTAATCCCCCTGATTGTGCAAATAGGATCCTATATTTGCATCAATTATATCTGTTGATCATATTCTACACCAGAAGACAGTCTTATCTTATCAAAGAATGCCATTAAAGCATTTCCTCATAAATTATGCAAATGAGGTCCTTATTTGAATAAGTTATGTTTAATCATGTTCACCTTCACATAACTTTTAAATATCCCAAGTATGAAATTCCAGGCAGTTACCACTATGTAAATATAACATTTTCTCATTAATTATGCAAATTATGTCTTCATTTGCATAATCGATATCTGCCTGTATTTCTGCCGTTCTTAATTACATATGTCACAAGCTTGAATAGTCCTATCATGGAATGCAGCTGATTTATAGAATTTCCTCATTAATTATGCAAATTACATTAATATATGCATAATTATAATATTATTATGTTAAGCATCACTTCAGCTACCTACATGCCAAAAATCACGACGATCCATCAATCAGTTCTAGAGTTATCCGCCTTTAAATATTTTTCAACTAACGCCCCTGCAGTTCCAGAGCAAGCCGCTAGGGAGACCAAACTCACATCACTTCTTCCCCAGCACAAGAGCTACCCACCATCCAAATTTCGTCACCCTAGCATGTCTAGATCACGAGATATCAAAACCGGACGTTCAGCTGCAGTACTATAACAAGCCGCTAGGGGGCCCAAAATTTTATCAGTTCCACGTCTCATGAAGACCTATCCACCTACCAAATATCAAGACAATCCATTTTAGCCTTCTTGAGTTATCGTGCTGACACACACACACACAGACACATGAACGCCTACGAAAACATAACCTTCTTGGCGAAGGTAAAAAGCAGATACTTCAAGTAGATATTGTTGCCATTGTGACTAGTTTTATATCTAGAAAGTATTACAGCAATAGTGACTGCTCATGAAGGTACCGTTGAAGATATATAAAAGACCTTTGGCCAATTAGTAGTAGGTAGTAAGTAGTGTCCGAGGAGAACATCCAAATCAAGCAATAACACTGTAACTGCAACAGTTAGGCCACACCGACTTAATTTTATGGATGACATCTGCGCGCGCATTGATTTTCGACTGCTCTCCATGCCATCCTCCAGAGTTACTACCGGCTCCGTCGCTAACTACCATGGACTAAAAAAAAAATATCACGTCTGGCCTTGCTCTAGGCCTGGGTACTCCATGGTAGTTAACGACAAGACGGAGCCCGTGGTAACACTGGAGGATGGCACCCAAGCTCCACGACTCAAGAACTCAGTAGTGCCGATTCATAAATTCTGCAAAAAGCCAGCATGTGTTGGTTTGTCATGTACGTCGCTATGGTCTGCTGCAAATTCACAATACCAGCTTTGTATTCCTGTGGTTTGGTAGCATTTTTATTTTTGGCTGGAATCTTTTTTTATTCGCCCGTGGGCACTAGTTTGGGGGTCTTCAGAGGATGTCATCCAGAAAGTTACGACGGTTTGGCCTTACAGAAAAAAATGTGTCCAGTGTTATTTTAATCAAGTTAGATATTACATGTATGAAGAAGATATTATGTGTTTCTTGTACCAACAGGCCTTTGTGATGCTGTGTAAAGACTACTCCCCGGGTATGATCCCCACCAAGTCTACACTACTGAAACAGATGGTGTGGACACAGGCTGTCCAGTCAGGGGCTCTCAGACCATGGGCTGGACTCATGGTGGACACACCAGTAGACCTAGGTAATGTTTTCTTATTCTGTTGGATATACATGTACATACATGTACTTATTTTCCATCCTCCACAGTCTCAGAATTCTTGCGTATACATGTATGTTTTTGCACATGGAAATGAAACCCGGGACACCCCCTATTGCCTGAAAATGGTCATGCTGGCTTGGCTTGGCTGTGGTTATTGACATTGTATTGTCGGTTTGTTCAATTTTTACCAGGCGTCTGATAGAGGGGTGTCAGGTTCCGATAAAAAATTGGGTTTTAGTCAGATTGTAGACGTGGAACAGGGTTTATTCCAGATGTTAGACATCAGATACAACCTGGCGCCGGTGACAGCAGTGGTGAACTACTGCATTATACGTTATTTTTAACGACTGGTTAGTACTTAATTTGAATATGATAATGTTTTATCATACACTTTTGTAAATGTTTTGGTCTGTGTCATGGTTAAAGCAGTTGGCGTTCGGTTTTAGTCTGTGTTCTTAGCAACTCTGGTTGTTGTGTTGTTAACAGTTATCGACGACCGCCGGGCGGGCAGAGTATTCTCGACACTAACAAATTTTCGACAAATTCATGGACACAAACCTATCAGTATTATAAAAATGATAATTCATCTCTAAGTTAATGAAATGTATTCTTTTCTCTTCTACAGAGAAGTTAAGGGAATTCTGTGAAGTGTACAAGAAGTGTTTTGGCCTAGACCACGATTCCCAGGAAGACTTGGCTGAGTTATCTGCTACAGATAAGGAGTTTATCCAAGAATCTGTAGAAAGCAAACTCACTATGTGTAAGGGTCTATATGGTGCAACCAAGGAGGATCAGCCAGATCTCCTTGGTGCAACCAATTCATTGCCCCAAACCTCCATCCGTGATCTTGCTGGAATGGTTTCAAAGAATGGCAGTACTCTCATGACCCTCGAAGTTGCAAATTACTCTTTTGAAACACATGTAAACTATGGATTACCTGAAGGGAAAGCCATGCGTGTCATGGCACATTTCTTGCGTAAGATAATCACTGAACAGGCAGAATGTGCGCAAGCACTGTATGAGGAACTTTTTGTCACCAAGTAATGTTAACTTTGTGTTATCATTAATAATAGGTGATAAAGGGGAAATGTTTTGTGTCCCTGATCATCAAGACATAATGTTCTAATGTGTAAGGTGGAATACAAATTCATTAATTCATTTCTGAAATACCGGTAGTCTATTTGCCACATTTTTGGGGGCTTCCAGGTAAGGAAGCTGGGATGCTAAATTATTATGATAGAAGGGCAAATCAAAAAGTTGTGCTTCTCTCACAAAACAACCTTGAGGCATTATTTTTCAATATCCCTTCAAATCAGCACATCTCCTTGCATGCTGAGGAATGTTGACCTGAATGTAACAAAATCAAAATATCCTTGAGCAAGAGAAATTTCATTGAGCAAGAGAAATTTCATTGAGCAAGAGAAAACAAACTGAAGTCCCAGGACTTTTGGGGCTTTTGTAGTTGTCCTAATATTGCAGTACTTTTGATTATCATCACTTTGGCACAGCATTACATAGAAGCACTAAGAGTTTTGTTTGTCAACTTCTGTATTTTGTGGCACATTTTCTTAAATACTGTGGTCATGATAAATTCAAGCATGTTTGTACATTTTCTGATTGTATAAAATTGTATACATGTATCAACATGACCCTTAGCTCTATCTGGACTATCAGTAATACCCAGTCTCTTTAGAAAGTGCTAAAAATAATGTCACTGGAATAAAATAATTGGCTTCATTAACTCATACTTAAGAGCATCAACATACAAAGGAACAAAGCGTTTTGTGAGGCTCTATTTGCATTTTCAATTGTTCAATATTTTGATTCCTATACATATTCAGAGCATTAATTTTTGTTCCACATTATTTGATTCTTGCATGGAAAAAGATCTACATGTATCTGTTAAAACGGTATGTGCTATGTAATCTTACCATTGTTACAAACTGTATGTATATGTACAGTTGTGACACTGACAGTCCTAGATGTGAATTTATACTCACTGTGAGATATGTGACATAACAATTATCAAACACTGTACATAAGACAGTAGGTTACAACTATTCATCAAAGATACAAATGTATATTGTAAGACTAAGAGATAGACAAGAAAATACATTTTGTATCCTAGCCTAGGGGTTTAACATGAAAATTGTAGTAGGAGGACAGTGACAACAACAAAACATGGCACAATACAATTGACAGACAAGAAGGATTAGCCAATACAGAAACAACAAATTTGGACAAAAATGTTGACATTATAAAACTTTCTAAGGTTTATGCATAAACTGAAATATTGGTTATCATGTCAGGTTACAGTTCTAAGAAATCATGGCACCAATTATGTTTATTTCAGATGTTTGTGTTTTTTTTCAAATAATTGATTCAATGAAAGCATGATACAGAATCTAGATCATACATTCTCCCTGAGGTAATTATACTACATGTACACCTCAATACCATTCTTGAGCCTGGTATACTGTCTTGTATAGTTTGCTGTTCTAAAGTTAATTGGTGGAGATGTCAGTCATTGTCTATGTTAATAGATGGATCAAAGTTGTAAGCCAGGATCCTCACCTATAGAACAGTAAACGCAAACATGCTATTAGTCACAAGATAAATACAAGTTATAAAAGTAATTTGCTACATCCAATAGGTTATTGGTTGTAGATTAGTCTTGTTAAATGATGATTCTAATCAATTGAGAGCAATTTTGTAATGCAATTCAGGCAAGCCTTCTCAAAATATATCTATAATGATTCTGGTTTTTGCCTGCAAGAAATAATACAGCTACATGTACTTAGTATTTTTGACAAAATTCATGTTCAGATGTACTGGTGATAATTACTATGTTACTGTATGTTCAAAAACAAGAAATATTGTCATATCTAGTACATCTAAGTAATACAGCCATTGACATTGACTTCTGCTTTTTTACCTGAATTATTACTTGTAAAAACTGAAATGACACAAAAAAATACCATAATGCAGAATGATGATTACTGATTAGTGAACAAAAATAAAGATTTGCTGCTTACCTTATCCCTCTCCAGTGTCAGTGACTGTAGAGTATCCTCCACCATAGATAACTTGGAGGCCAGGTTAAAGTGTTGTCCCTCTAACTCATTACAGGTGTCTTTGTAACCTTCTTTATGACTCTGGAGACTGCTGATTTTCTCTTCCAAAATCTTAATCTGTTCCTTTAGGTTCTCTTCTTGCTTTTCTATTGCAGCAACTTGTTTCTAAATAGATGAATCAAAACAAGGTCAAGGAAAGGTATCTCAATCCAGTTTTAGCTCACACTGTCACTGAAGAGCTATTCTCCCATGGCCACTGGTCATGACAGAGAAGACAGACGCTAATCACGCTATGTACGGTATTTACAGGTACATGTACATTGTAACAGGGAAGTTCCCCTAGCTATTTTTGACAAGCACAATGAACAGCGGACCACAGCTGTTCTAAGTACTGCGACCCCTTCCATTGCATGTCAAGTGAGCGACAATACCCAGGATTCAAACTCCCAACCTTTTGGTCCAGAGGGAGAGTCGCAAACCACTGGACTATGCATGCTATTTAAACGTAATACTACAAGGTAACAAAAGTAGACTACCAGTAGATTTTTATACTCCTTAGTAAACATGCCTGAAAAGCTACAATTAAATCCTACATTGCTCTGTTCTAAATTTGTTACTAACAGTGTATTAAGGTAAAAGTTGTTTTATAAAATGGCCTACTTAGCAATCAAAAGAACCATACAACATTGTAATGGAACAACCTATAGCTACCTGCAGTTACTGTTGAATTCTGTTAAGAACAATACTCACCTGTTCCCTCTCTAGTTGCTTAGCAACCGTCTCCATCTTCCCCCTGATCCCATCAGCCTCTGTCTCCAGCACCTCACACCTCACAGTCAGGGTGTGGTACTTCTCCACATAGTCCTCACCTCTGTTACCATGGTAACCCTTATGTTTACCATCGCCATGGGAACCAGAGTCTCTCCTGGGTGCAGTTCTGTTTTCTTCACCCAAGGAATCAAATCTGCTAGTGCCGCCTGAGTACTTTTGCGGAGCGTATGTATGGTTGGCACTGGTTATGTGGATGTTTGAGTGTTCCCTTGTTTTTGGCTTTCTCTTGTTTTTGTATTCTACAATTATCTGCTGAAGCATGATGTTGCAAGTGAGGGATGACACTGAAAGATATGAACACATTTCTGATGATGCATCAAAATGTGTAAAGAAGTGACTGAGTTTGTAACAAAGAACTATGGCTAGTTACAGAGTTTAAGCCTTAATTCTAACACAAATTCCCGCCACTTTTGATTCACTCCTGACGTCATCGCGCTTGCAAATTTCTGGAGAGTCAGCGAGTGGATCATAGGTCTGATGAAGGTTGACGAGTTCCATCCAAAATTTATGGTCTTTCTTTTTGTGTTGTAAGTTGTAAATGTAACTATGGATTCTACCAACATTATTACGGTTATAATTGTTCATCAGTAGACAGAGGACAAAGGCAGTCAGTTACTAGTATGATATATGTACAAATGTATGAGCCTACCTTCCTGTCCACACCCAGGGCAGGTGTCTGTATGTCTGACACAGGCAGTACAGAAGGTGTGACCACAGGGGATAACCAACATGGGCCGGTGGTCTGGGGGAACCTGCAACAAAAACAAAACTAAATTTCATTTTCTTTGCTAATTTGACACAAAATTGGAAAATCCATTTGCAAAATTTTCAAAACAAAAGGGAAACAACTTGTACTGTACTGTGGATTGAAATTGTCATTTACCAAGAAAAAGCCTAGAAAACAAGAATGTATTGGGGAAAATATAATTTATAGATATTTACAAGGTAAAACTTAGAGATTCTAGTACTATGGACAAACTAATACATTTTATCGGACTCAGAGGTACAGAGAAAACAGCCTTACCATAAGAGAAGAGCAGACCTGACACTTGTGTGTGTCAATGCTTGTTTCCTGAGTGACTCCTGAGTCTTCCCTGCTTGCTGGTTTATCCATTCTCACCTTCAGTCTGTTGGCTATCTGATCTGCCAACGCATCAAACATGTCTGGAGACAACATAGCTCGAGCTCTTGCACTTCTCGATCCTGATTGGTCCTCTGTTCTTTCTACATCTTCTTGCACATCATTTCCAACCTTGTCATGTTTTAAATTGAGTTTGTGCAAAGTTTCTCTTGCTGAAGAGACACTGTCTTGCTTTGGGAATTCAGTAGTATGTACAATGTCAGATGTATGTGTGTTAGGCACTATTTCTTCTTCATCTTGCGTTCCATTCTCTGAATCTGTTTGTCTGACATTCTGTTTGCTATTTAATGTATTACCATTTACTTCATTGAAAGACCCTTTTGTATAAGTCTGTGGTCTCTCCAGTGTTCTGTTTGCACTTTTTGGCCTTTGTGTGGATAATTTTCTTTCACTCTGTGAGGTTGCTGTTTTCGTTTCTGTTTTTCTGGACTTCCCTGTTATTGTTGGTGCACTTGACGGTTTGGGAGGCTGAGATCTTGAGGACTTTTGTTGGAACTGCTTGTCGATGTCATTCTTGGAAATCCATGGTATATATGCTGTATCTACAGAGGAAAAATAGAAGGTGAAATTAAGTAACGAAATTAACATCACAGCTGTAAGAAGTCTCACATAGCTGTAGAGTCAAATTGGTTTACTGTCTTATAATGTTATTTACATATGCAGATTACAACTACATGTACTACTTTATTTAAAGGAAAACATAATAAAATAGAGTAATATCATTCTACCTGACATTCCTCACTTAAAAAAGTTAAAGGCTTTTGATTTCTTCATTTTGGCTTTAATCTTAACAGTTAGACGAACTTTGAAGTGTAACATAGTAACTTACTAGTCTTACTGACTTTGAAGGCTACAGTTATACATTGTACTACATGGCCATGATTACATACTTGTAGTTGTAGACTGTGCAGCTGGTTTCTTGTCCTTCCTGTCTACCGCCCCCCTCTGTCCTGTAGTACCTCTCCCCCTAGTCTGTCCTGTCTGTGACTGCTGCCTCCCTCCTCCTCCTCCTCCTCCTCCCCGGTCCAGCTGCTGTTTCCTCTCCTGCATCCATCTCGCCTGCTTACTTTGGATCTGTTTCACCTGGCAGAGAATTTCAACATCATCATCAACAACAACAACAACATCACCATCATCATCATCATCATCATTGTATGTTTACTTTGAGTCTGTTTAACCTGGCATAAAATTTCACCTGGCATAAAATATCAATCATATGAAATAGTGTTCAAAGGAAATAAAGACAGCAACAGGTTGTTTGTTCATGCCTTTGAGAAACAAGTTGTAAGTTAAATTTTGAAGAAGGACAAAACCAACATAAAAGGTAAACGTTATAATACACTGGACAGTCTATTGACATCGTCTACAAAGAATACTGCAAATCCCCAATAAGCTATAAGACTGGTGAAAAACACGACAACAACTATGTAGTGTATACTATGCACTGAAGATATTTGTCAAAAGCCCCCCTCCCCCAACAAATTCTCGGACACAAACCTTCTCAGCGATAGCTTGTTTGGTCGCTTCGTCGTCCCGTTTCTTTGGCATTTTCAAGGCGTGTGTTGACTGAAGGTCTTCCAGGACTTAGAAAAGTGTTAAAGCGTAATTTAGCCAGAAAACGCAGGGGGATTTACTCCCATTTTCCTCTGCTACCTTGGCAACATTTTCATTTCGACCGCGGTATTTTCGGATCACACCATTCATACATAGGTAATGTTACTCTTTGAATAATTTCGATGAAAATTAATATTTCTCAAAATTAGATTGCATTCATAACATTTTCTTGTAAGATATAAATCACAATATAAAAAAAAAGATATCTGTGAAACTGTTTACTCACTTGTAAACTTTCTTTTGTTGATATTTATATGAGACAAATTTTGTATCCCTCCCCTTGAGGAATGTGATCTTCTAGCTTTGCAAAATCTCGCGATGCTTGAAAGTTTGCGAGATTCTCCGAGATGACAGAGAAAGCGGCCATTTTAAAAATCCTCAGAGTTTTCCGCGGCCAGCAAAAATCAGCTTTAGTTTCAACTACAGTCCCGTTCTGGATGGGCTTTACACGTGGCAGATGAAACAAACTGATTTTTAGAACAATGTGTTAAACTTTGTTGTTTCTAATGCAGCACTGAACACTCAGCTCGTGCGGTAAGTTCACGCATAAAAGTTTGCGGGGAGGGGGGCTTGCTTGGTCTTTGGCCGGTCGGAGAGAGACAAAAAGTTTAAAGTTTGGATGCCCAAGAGTTAATAATTTTCTTTAGAAATGACCAAGGTAGTCGGAAGACCCTCCTACTGTCAAATTTCTGATGACGTGTGATGTAGTCGTCCCAAACAAACCGTCTTTCCTTGATGCTTGATTGCTATTGTTATTCAAAATCAATTTATGTCATTTTCCTTCTCAAAATTGTTCCAGTTCTGAGTGCCAAGATGGCTGGACAAGGTGGTTTGTTCAGCATTGGTGATGACGACTTGGATCTTGGAGATGAGGTACTCAACTTCTTACGTCATCAACTTACATTTATAATTGCAGTTTCTGTTTCATCTAAATTATGGAAGTTGTCAAAGGTTGAATGAATGTTAATCAGATCACCAATATCTAACACATGTATTATGATTTCAGGACTTCTTACTAGCAGAATCAGCTAGTATGGCTCCTGCCACATCCATGGCCAACTCTACCAACTCCAGACCCTTACAGCAGCAGAACAACAACCTGATCACAAAAACTACTTTCAACAAGAAACCTACAGTGGACTACAAGACTCCAGATCAACCTCCTCAAGCCAACATCAACTCATCTTTCCTGGGAGCTTTTGATGATGACTTTGGTGATGACAGTATCGGATCGTTTTTAACCAAAAGGCGATCAAGTGACTCCCCCATTCTTGGAGTTCAACCGCCAAAAAAACAGCCAAAGACCTCAAACAGTCCCTCAGAAAGTAGTACTGCTGAAGGCAGCAGTAGACTGCAATGCATGGAACAAAAGATAGGAGGCACTGCACACAATGTTGGTGGACCTTCTATGCAAGGGAGATCGCAAGCCATTCTGAACAAAATACAAGGACTCGGTTCTTCAAGCAATCAAACCCAGAGTACCAGTGGACTCAGAATGCCTGTAGCAGACTCAGGCACAACACAGTCCCCAGCAGGCAAGAAACTGGGAAAATTTGTTTTCAAACCTGTCAACAAAACTTCCCCCAACAGCCCTTCTGTACCTAGTGGCACTGGGTTTTCTCTTAGGCCAAACAATGTGTTTGATGCAAACACTAGTAGTGGAAGAGGTAGTGCAGTACCTTCTAATACAGGAGGTAGCCCTGTGTTAGTAAGTGGTGTGCCCAACAATAATGTTCAAAACAGCCCTACAGATAACCAGAGTCCTGGAACTACAGGAAGACTTTCCCGTCTGCTTGGAGGACCCTCTGTGAACAGTAGCAGTACAAAGGATGGGTCTGGGCAAGGTAGCAATAATATAACAGGGCTAAACAAAGGGAACTCTCTCCCTAATGTTGCTGGTACATACAGTACAAGTACTCAGCTTCGAACTCCTGCAGTTAATGTTGGAAGTACCTCAAGCACATCTCAGTTAAGAAGCTTTGCCTCTTTACAAAATAAACCTGTAAGTAAAGGCTATGTGTTTGCCAGCAAAGTAAGCAGTACTCAGAAACTAAGAGTTCCTGAGGCAAACAATCCCAGTTTCCCATCAACTGTGAGCTCTGGACCGGTGCAGTATAACCCTGGAATACAGACTACTAGTGGGTTGAGGAACCCAGCCAATGCACAGTTTAAACCAAGTGGAATGAGGAATCCTACAAGCAGCACTTCGGGTGTGCAGAACACTATGGGTACCCACGGAACTGTTGGTACAAGTCATGTCACATCCACAAGTTTTACCCAAGCTGGACCGAGGCTGCCACAAAGAGGAGGCCACACATTTGCCCCACGTATGGGGAGTGTTTCCTCTACTCCGAGGTACGGAGGACAACACGGCACACCAAGGATGCCACAGCCTGCTGGGATGGCGGCTCCCAGGATGCAACAGCCTCCAAGGTTTCAGCAGACTCCCAGGATGCAGTATACTCCCACAATGCAGCAGAGTCCCAGAATGCCCCATGGCAGAGCAGGCCCCATCAGACAGAGGTCACCAAACGGACCCAGTTCTGGGTTGTACAACTCTAGTTTTGGACAAAGCACAATGTCTGAACAACAAGGAGTGAGTGTTTTTTATCTGTGTATAGTTTAGTGGTGTTTTTCTATTCTTTTTCTCATTAGACACTGAACTATAGTCACTGAGTTTAGAATGAAAAGCATAACTATTCTTTTGTTTGTAAAAGCTTTTTTCATCATTATCATATGGCTATTTTGTTGACTTTCAAAAAAACAAACTCCATTTTTGCCAATCAATGGTAACAACACTGTTACACATTCACAACTATCAAGTTTCAATGCTTATCAATACTTTCTACAAAATGTTTATGATCTTCATATTTGCCCATATAGACCAGTTCTCCTGGCAGTTTCCTGTCCCCCCGGACCCCAGTGTGTACGTCCAGACTGTTGAAGCTGTGTAACGCCTCCAAACCCAAGGACCTGACACCACGGGGCAAGAAGAGAAGGTTCCCAGGACCTGCTGGGATATTGCCGAAACTGGTGAGGGATATAGCTTTACATTCTTGTTTTGAGAAACTTTTGTCAGCCTAAAAGTAGTATGTGTCTTTCAGAATTATTGGTGATTTTGTGCACGTGAAGTCTTTTTTAAATTTTTTTTTGAGCTTTAACAGTATAACTTGTCAAAGTCAAGTTGGAATCAAAGTGTTAACAGGGATGTTTTCATATTTCCCTTCCTTCTTTTCTTTAGTCTGAGGATAAACAGTTGGATGATGTTGCCATAGCAACTCCACAGACACCTTCCCACAGTGCAGTGGCCAAGAAACCTAATGATGAGGTATGAAACAACACCATATCTGCCAGAACAATTAGTACAGTTCACATTTCTTCTGCATTGTTTTACCCTGGATCAGTCAGCATTGCCTAAGCATTATGTAGCTTTTAGACCTTTGTGTCTTGGAAAGAATATGTCCATTTCTGCGTGAATATTTGTGTGAATGTGAGGCATTGTGGTAAGTTTTAAGGCAGTGGTAGGGTAAAACTTTGAGTTCTATTTCATTCAGGACCTGTCAAGCTCTCAGCTGTCCCAGGAAGATCCCAGGAAAGGATCATGGGATACCATGAAGAAGGAACTGGGTCTGCACGAGGACAACTCCAGTTGCATCCTGGGTAAAAACAACATTGCCCTTGTCCTACGGAGGGTAAGTTAAGATATTCTACAACTTTACCTTATCTTCTATCTGATAAGATTCTGTAGTTCTCTTTCAGTTCTATATGTAGGATTTCATCACAGTTTGTTTTCATGTTTGATAATGATTGCTGACCTTCTGTATGTTTGATACAGGCCAGTTTAAAGTTACTGCCACAAGGAAAGGTGTCACAACTGTGTGTGTGGGTGAAGCTGTTGTCATCAGATGGGAGGAACGGAAGTGTTGTTTTCAGAGACCACACAGGTATTAAGCCATAGAAGTCTCCCACAATGTGATTCGTAGGCTATATATTAGATCTGCCACACAGTAGTGTTTTCCAGAAAGAACCTTACATGAACAAATTACAAGGTCAAGAACAAAGCTGCTGTAGGGAAGGAAGGGGATGCTTACACATGTGTTCCTCGGGAATGGCAAACTGTTTTCCTAGGCTTAGTCCCTGCCATAATCTGTCTATTTGGACAATTTCTACTCTTTCCAGCCACTTCCTGCAGCCTGGTCGAGGCTACCTCAGTAATTCAACCTCTTGCATCAGACCAGAATCGTTTAGAATGCTGGTTTTGGTGTCTAGTACAGAATACTGTGTTGATGTCTTATTATGTAGATATATAGAATGGGGTGTTGATCTCTCCTTACCATGTATAATGTACTATCCCCAGGTGAGATGCAGGGTACCATACACCAGAAGGTGTTAGAGGAGTATCCCTCAGAGATCAAGGCTGGGACTACTCTGGTCCTCAGACAGGTACAGCACTTTTATAGACTTACAGTAGCTACTAGTATCCTATCAGATTTAAACACATTGCATATAGGAAGATAAAGCATTCTTGATATGTTGTAGTTATTCATCACTGGGAATGTGTATGTGTGAAGAAGAAGTATATCTCTGACCTGTTTTACTTAAAATTGTAGCATTTATAATATCCAACAGTTATTGCCTGATTCTTATCACTGATATTAGTTTTCGCACCACTGTATGTTACTAATGATTGTCTACCCTTATTTTCCAATCCACAGGTTGGAGTATTCAGTCCATCTGCCAGAAACCACTACCTAAACATCACCCTAAACAACATAGTCCAGGTCTATCCTCCTGGTACTAAATCAGGCATAACCTCCAACCCCTCCAGCCAGGACTCACCCGAGCTGAACCAGTCTCCTCCACCCTCCTGGCTGAAGTTTCAGGACACAAGTCCTACCTGTACAAGGACTGTTGTCTCTCAGGTTTCAACTACTACTGTGGGGAGGGGTAACACTCAGAAGCCAAGGCATAATGTGGAAAAGTTACCTTTTAGTAGTGCTTTAGGACAAGATA